ACACTCAACGTCGCGTCTTCTGCAGCGTCCATGTCAACCCCAAGCGTCACAGAACCCAAGTACTGCGCCGCAACGCCCGTGCCGCTCGCAATGCTGTCTTCATCAGCGACATTCGCGCTCACAGACATCATTCCATTCGACATTGGCGACGCCGCCGTCCACTCGCTGGATGCAGAAAAAGACTGCACCGTCAAGCCAGCTCCGCCCTCAACCGTAAAGGTCGCGGCCGTCACGGCACGATCGGCAAACACATACACATCCACGGCAAACGTGTCTCCACGATACAACGGACGCAAGGGCATCACAAACTGAAGCTGAGCAGCACCTGACGTTGAGGCACGAATGCCAACCGGGCCGCGAGCCTGCAGCGTAACATCGCCCGCAACGCGCCAGCTTGTGCTGCCGCCACCGCCATTCAAGCGGTACTCAACACGCGCCGTCTCCGTCGCCCCGCTGCTAGAATCAAACCAGCCCACGGGCACTGTCGCCGTCAATGCCACTTTGCCCGTGCCCGTTGCAGCCGCGCCACTGACCGACAACGCACTCGCCGATGCCCCGATCAGCCCGCTGCTCACCGGCACAATCTGCACCTCCACTGTGCTGCCGCTTGGCACCTGGTTGCCACCCAGGCTATTGAATACCTGCGCGTGCACCTTCACCTGCCGTGCGCCGTCAACCCACAGCTCAGGTGTGCCAAGGAAGGCCGTCACCTCTGCTGCCAAAGTTCCGGCTCCATCGACCATGACTTCTGCGGTGGACGCAAACTGACCAAGCTTGGTCCAAAAGCGTCCTACTCGTTCTTCACCAGGAAGGACTGAGCCTTCGGTAAGAAATGTGCTGCTGTTGACAGCAAGTACAGCGGCGCTTCGGATGGCATCATCCTCGCTTGACACACTCAACGCAAAGTCTTGTATAATGAACAGTGTGAAGGTCGTCGTTGAAATTAGTTGCAAATGTGGCTTCTCCGCCAGCTCTTTGGCAAGCACTGTGTACACAAAAGATGTGCCAGCCTGTAACCCCTCATTCGAGAGAAGGGTTACGGCTCCTGACATAGGATCAATTGCCAAGCGCCCATCAGGTGTCACAAGGCCTGAATCAAACTGATATTGAATGTCCTTCGCACAAGGGTCAGAATCAGCGGCCACAATGGTGGCCACTCTCGAGTTGGCAAGGCTTGCGGCTGGTATCGCAGCACGAAATGTATTTTGAGAAAACACGGGAGCATTGTCGTTGCGCTCTTCAATCACCAAGATGACATTGAAATCTTCAAAATGGCTAAAGCCATCATAAAGTGAAGTTCCTAACGAGCAGGATGTGGGTATGCCGCACAGTCCTGAGCAGCTCGTGAATGGGTCCATGGCAGCTGCAGCTGCACAATCGCTCCGACAAGCACTTCGTGTGTACTCTGCGGGGAAAAAGTCGGCGTGGATGCGATCACACCGCTTTTGACACTCTGCAACAGTTCCGTTAGCGTGATCCCGCACGCGCACCTCGAGTACAAGAACTTCGTTGGCCAGGGCGCAAAAATCAGATACTCGCACAGTCACAGCACCCGAGCTTGCGCTGATATTCACAAAAGCAGTCGCATTGCCACCGAGTGCTTCGAAAGAGAGATTGGAATTTGCACCAATATCATCGTCAGTGGCTTGCACAATGGTGACCAAATGGTCGCTGATCGCATTGGCATGAACGGTCACGTCAAGCGGAGAAGTCACGACAGGACAGTGGTTATTCACGTCAAGGACGAGTGCTTCATGGTGCAAGGTTGTCGCCAATGGCGGGGAACCGTGGTCAGTGCCAGTGACGTTCAGCGCCAGGTCACCAACGGTGAGCGTGTGGCCATCAACTAGGACTACAGCCGTGTTGTTGTAAACGGCAGACGCATGGCTGGGCGATGTGGCAGTAGATAGTGTCACCATAGCATTGACACCAGAATCAAGATCAGAGACATTCACAACGCCAAGCTGTGTGCCTGCAGGGTCATTCTCGTACACGTAGTCCAAGAGCGAGTCAAACACCAGAAAGGGCGCGTTATCATTCACATCAAGGACATTGATGGTAATGACTGTGCTCACCGAAAGCGGAGGATCTGAGGTCGGCAAGTCGGTCACAGTCACAGTCATACTATAGGACTGCTGGGTTTCGTAGTCGAGGGTGCCATTCAAAAGGATTCGAGTTCCTTCCACGCGAAACAAGCCGCTATCATCGCTGATCGAAAGCGCCATCTTGTTGTTTGGTGAGGTGACGTCGGCATCACTGAGGGTAAAATCGACCAGCGTCGAGCCGAGGGTCAGGTTCTCGAACGCTGGCACGTAGTCAATGGCATCGATTGCTGGTGCATTGTCGTTGACGTCTGTCACAGTCACAATCAGTTCGAAGTCCGGGCTGGTGAAATAACAATCTGCACCAAGATCAAAGCACGTTGCCAAAGTCGGGAAGCCTCGATCCGTAGCACGAATGGTGACGCGCAACTGTAAGCCGTGAGCCTCAGCATCAATTTCCATGCTATTCTGAACCACTTGACCAACCAGCTCAAAAATGTCATCAGAAGCCGAGTCAATGGCGTAGTCGATCACGTTGTTAGGGCTGGTGATGTCTGCATCGGTGGCACTGAATCCTTGCGAAAAGTCTTGGCCTTCACGGAGAGTGAGAAAGGCAATTGGATTGGTAAACACCGGTGTCTCGTCGTTGGAATCGAGTACATTGACACGAACGATGGCGTTGTCGCGCGGGAAAGTGCCGTTCACGGGATCGAATGGTAGGCAGTAGATGGTAAAGAAGGTCTGCCGCTCGCCATACACAAATGGGGTGTTGAATCCGACCACTGAAACCTGTGTTCCGGCCGGTGGGAAGGCAGCCTCTGCATCCAATGCCATCCCAGGCGCAAGTGATATGACGCCGGTTTGGAGGTCAGAGGTAAATGTGTCGCCTACCGTGACCAAGAAAAAGCCTTGGTTGACTGGATCACGATCCGCATCAGAGGGAATGATGGTGATAAGCTCAACACCGGACGTCATATTCTCGAAAACAAAAATCTCATACTCATCCAAAATTTGCGGGGCATTGTCGTTAGCATCGACAATGGTCAGATTGAAGATGGCCACGCGAGTGAGGGGGTTGTAGGGATGGTTGTCGCTCACGCGGATTCCGAAGGAATAAAAGACAATGGCACCGGGAGGATCGACATCGACTTGACGTGTCATGACCACATCAACGGAGCGCTCAGCAACCGGCTGTAGCTGTACAAAGGCCGGAGCGCTGACCAACTCGAAAAGAAAAGGGCCATTCCCGTGAGCGGGATCCATATCTGTTACGTTAATGCGAATAATGGGCTCATTTGGCGTAACGTCCTCGGGAATGGTGACGGAAAACGGTCCATTGTCGAAGGTTGGTGCGGCATCGTTGGTGATGAGCTCAATCACTGAAATGTTGAGGAAGGATGTGGGACCACGCAGGGGTGGTGAGCCTAAGTCTTCAGGATACACCGACACACTAACGACAGGATCCTGAAAGAAACTGAGCTGTTGGGCAACGAGCACGCGGCCATCGGGTGTGACATTGAAATAGCCAGACAAGGGCGAGTCCTGAATGAATTGGACTTGACCGGCCAAGCCGCTGTCTCGATCTGAGGCAGTGAGCTGAGCTACCTCAAACCCGATATTTTCGCCTTCGTTGACAAAGAAATCGAGCTGGGAAGTGAGCTGAGGAGCATTGTCATTAGCATCAAGAACGGTGATGATGATAGTGGCTAGCGAGTAGCCAGCATCGTCGCTGGCTTGAACCACTAGAGATAGGTTACGCTGGGATGGTATTTCATAGTCAGGGGCGTAGCGCAGTTTGAGAGAAGGTTCGGCTGAGAGATCTAGCTCGAAAAACGGTGAAGCTGTGAGTAACTGGAGGGTGAACTCTTGAAAGGCTGGCGTGATGTCTGGATTTGAAACGTTGAAAATGAGCACTGTTGTGCCGTTGGCCGTATCTTCGGGCAGCTGCACCAGATAAGGGCTTGGGTTGTCAAAAAAGGGAGCAATGTCGTTGACATCATCGACAAAGACGGTCACGTTTGTTGATGCGTTGAAGGGACCGTCAAGGGCAACCACCATAAACTCAAGGGGGCCGGTGAGAACGTCGGCATCCAAGGGCGTCATGACCTGAAGCCGGCCCGTGGGGGTGATGGTAAAGGATGAGCTCCCCACCACTGCATAATTGGACGGTGGTGAGTCGCGACCTCCACCCGATGCATTCACGATGCCAACGAGCTCATAAATGCTGGCGGACTCGAGCACGTGAAAAGAGTAAGGACCGTCCAAAAATGTGGGGGGTTCATCGTTCACGTTAGTAATGAGGATTTGAACAGGGCAGGCGGCCTGGAACCCGCCGTCATCGACGCGAACAAAGAGCGTGTAGCTATACGGCTCAGTGTCATAATCCAGCATGCTGTTGTCGTGCAGCTTGACGACGTTGGATGAGAATTGAAACATGCCAGTCGGTGCAGTCGAGTTGAGGAGGGAAAAGGAGATGGCCGAGCCAGTGTCCGGGTCTTCGATGGCTACGCTGCCCAGACTCTGGTCATTAGGAGCGTTCTCGGCCACGGTGAAGATGTTTTGTGCATCCAGACATGTGGGAGGGTTATCGTTGATGTTGTCAACAGATATGATGGAATAGCAGGTGCCGGTGGTACCGACGCTATCAGTGGCACGCACCAAGTAGCGCACTGTCAGCCCCTGCGGATACAAATCAGCATCGATGCGGTTATGCACGCGCATTGCACCGGTGCTGGAGATATTATAAAACCCGTCTGGAGAAATTGGAGCCAGGTAGTTGCTGGCTACAAAATTGAAGGTGTAGGGTGGTGTGCCACCCGATGCAGTCATGGTGGTGACAAGGGTACCCAATGGCTCTTCTTCTGGAATAGTGATGGAGATCTGGCAGGACATGCCAAGGGCAGCGTCGGCGCCAAGAGCTGCACAAGAACAGATCAGATCAAGCCAAGAAAAAAAAATTTCGTATCCCAAAACAAGTAGCAAGCAAGGGACGAGGGCGGGCCAGGGCAAAGCGACTCAGATGAGGAGGCGCCTTTTCGGGGGCAGCGGCTGGGGTAGCAAAGCAGAGTTGGTTGAGAGGATGGAACAAGGCGATGGATGAGATTTTCAACGTACGCTGTAGCGCTATCAGCAAGAGCAGCAATAGGGCCAGGCTGGCAGTGCCCAAGGGGCGCAGCGCGCCCAGGGCGCTGCGCATGGTGGCGGGTACCAGGCACCACACAGCCAGGGCGGGCCAGGTGCGAGCTCGCACAAGCACCGGCCAAGCGAGGTGACTGTGACCTCGGTTTGTTCAAGAGAAAACAGCCAGCGCCTGATTCAGGACCGAGATGTCAAGCCAGATTTGGAGAAGGCAAGAAAAACACTGCTCCGGGCCCGGTCAAGAACAGGGCTGTTGGCAGGCACAAGAAATGGATTGAGGTTGATGCACCAGTACTGTAGCAGCGGCGCTACATGCACGGGTGAGCAACGCCTTCAAACTCACCTGTTGCGGTGGGTGTCGGCGAGAGGGAGGGGGGGATCATATGACGAGAGAAGGATTGTCAACGCGACGTTGGGAGCGTCACGTTGATCAGTCAGAAATAAAACTCAATCAGACAACACCGCAGTGTCAAAAGTTCCTCAAAGGAGAGAGACTGGACCCGAAGGACCGACAAGCCTGCGCGACAACGACACAAGGGAGAAGAAACCGAGGATGTGAGTCGTAGTCGTGGCTACTCTGGAAACCGAGCTGGCATCGCTGCACACGCGACATTGACCCCATGCATCAAGGCACGGGCGAGCGCAGGCAATGTGATGTGCAACAAAGGCGACTGGGATGGGGATAGAGACGAAACTTGACCCCCGCCCCCCGGCACGCAGGTACGACAAACACATCAGAGCAGCTGACACCACAGCTCACACGTGTGTAAAGCCACCACACAACTTGCACCACCAAAGCACACACACACACACACATTCGCTCTCTCGCGCGCGTCACCAAGCTCGTGCTGGTGTGCGCGCATCTTCCCCTGCCCTCTCTCTCTCTCACTCTCTCGCACGCGCACTCTCTCTCTCGCACACACACACACGTTCTCTGTGTGTCGGCGTGTCGACTGATGTGTGACCAGAGGGCACCAAGCAAGGGTCGAACAACAACGACAAGAACGCGCACAAGGTCGAACAGAGACAGGTACCAAAGACCATCATACTCAGCCAGACAACAGGTACCCAACCCGCCTAAAGCCCTTCGCCCAACACCACCACCACCACCACCACCACCCCCCGCTGCCATTTCTCCCATCCAAGCCTCCGCCCTCCGCCCACTCGTTCCAACCTCACACACACACACACACACACACACACACACACACACACACACACACACACACATCACTGAGAATTTCTTTTGTTCTTTTGTTCTATTGGGCGATGTCGTACCTTTAAGGGGGGAAACAAAAGAAATGACGTTAGGGTACGTTACGTTACATTGGATGTAAACGTTACAGCTCGTATGGGTGACATCTTCTCTCGCTTCCTCTCTCTCTTCTTCTCTCTCTCTCTTCTTCTTCTTCTCTCTCTCTTCTGCTTCTTCTTCTCTCTCTCTTCTTCTTCTTCTCTCTCTTCTTCTTCTCTCTTCTTCTTCTCTCGTGTCTGAGTGAGAGAATGTGTGGGCAAGGTTACACTTTGGGCCGCGTCAAGGACGCATCGTGGTGTATCACGGCATTACAGCCTCTCATGGCAGGGAAAAGTGGAAACGTGCTGACTGGCTTCGCCTACTGGCAAATACACGAATCTCCATGGCAAGAAGCTACTCGTGTTCGATTTCGGCGAGCCACTGAAAGACTGGGTCCAAGGGACTGGTGATGCTGCTCGGCAGCGAAAGAACCAAGGCCTCGGTTTGATCCAAAGCACCCAACAACCTGCATCATGCCACACATGAGAGCAGGTATCTGGGACCATCTGCCCCATCTGCCCCAGCCGAAGACGACAAGCCAAAAGCGAGCAAAGCACACGAACCATTCTCGCAAATCGTGTGATAGAGAAACGTGTGGTTGTCGATGCTCATCCGTTGTATTCAAAAGTGCCGTCACGTCCACCGATGTGGCCTTTTTTAGCATCGTAAACTTGGACTGCGACAGCCCATTCCAGACACGGCCAACAAATAGGATCAACTCGGATCGTGCTGACATGGAATCACCCCGGCAAATTGGAATGGAACCACCCCGGCAAAAATCGGATTTACCTCGATATTCTCCTTGCACGCCATGGCGCCTTTACCCAGGTGCGCCAGCGATTGCTATGAAGGAGTTTGAAACAAAAAGGAAAAAAAAAAAAAAAAAAACCAGGAAACGTCAACCAGAACCCAGCTTCATTCCCGCGCACAGAACGCATTCGACAATCCAGGAGAGCGGAAAAAAGTGGCAAGTGAGCGTAACAGGCATAACCACGAACATAAAGCAGTGCTACTTGATGCGCCGTGTACTTGTAGTGCTCCAAATCCACATCGCGACGAATTTGCTGGCACAGAGCCAGCACGGCATTAAGCGCCGATAATCGTGCCAAATAACCTGCGCCATTCGCCGGCACATCCGGTGTAATCCACATGAAACATGGGCAAATCCGGTGTAACCACACAAAACATGAGCTATTCCCTTTTTCCGCCACATTATGGTGCGCCGTGCCTGAGGTGATGAAGACGCCTCGGCCATCATCAACGACAACGACCTCACATACACCCACGTGCTACCTCACGCACGCTTACCATCCATTGGACTCTCTGGGATGTGCTGCAAGTTGGAAACCGGGTCCTCTGGCATGGAAGCCATGGTCAAAAACCGCGGGCAAAGCTCGTCCACACCTGACCCGCGCAGATAATTCTAGATATTTCACCCCGCCCCGCCCCACACACACACCGTGAGACCCTCGACATCATGACCAAGAGTCGGTCGTGGATGTGGCCCAGTATCGCTACACCGAATCAAAAAAGCAAGCGCATGTGCCAGCACCTACCACCAGTGTCATGCCATTCTTGCCAGCCATTGAGCTGCGCGTGACGCGCTGTTGACTCCCCTGGACCGACTCGGTGACTGTGTGTGACGTGCAAATGCGCGACGAGGCCAAGGTGCAACAGCACGTGAATTCAAAGCGCTCATTCAAGTGGCACTCACCAAAGGTAGCAAGCACAAGCATTCACTCACTCAGCTCGCGCTGGCACACTTGCCGCTCTTTCGGCAGCTGTGGTTGAGCAGATTCATGCAAACGAGAGGCAAGCAGTGAGACAAAATAGCAAAGGTACTGGCGCCGGAGCCAAGAGCCAAATCAGGTGAAAATCAAACCGTGGTATGATGCTTGAGCATGGCCTCCACCACAAGACCCGAGGCCAGGACGGAGATGGCTAGATCCGTGACCGAGGCATGTGCCTCGTAGCAAGGCGCCTCGCGCTGGCACACAGCTATGCCCCAGAAACGTGGCAAGAAGCCCAAGCACCTCAGATGAAACCACGCGCATCAACAGTTCGCTCGACGATAACCCGCTGAAGGCCGGTCAACCCGCCGATCAAGGCTAGGACGTGATAACAACCAACCTTGGAAAGGCTCCAGCCAGTTCACGTCCGTTTGTGTGGTCCACACCGTGCCCGCCATGATGAATCCAGTCTCGCACGCTGGCTCCGAGCGGTTGCTGCCTAGTGCTCGCTTTCCCCGTTGCACTCCTCTTTCTGACGATATGACGCCTTGCCAGCGTCCCACGTCCCACGCCACCGCAACCTCTCCTATCCTACCTACACTCCACCAATTCGGCCACCACCACGGTCCCCCACCCCCGCTGATGCCACCTCGTACAACGCAAAAATGCGTGCGCGCTCGCGCAGAACACACACACACACACACACTCTCTCTCTCTCTCTCTCTCTCTCTCTCTCTCTCTCTCTATCTTTTTTTTTTCTATTTTTTTTCCGATTTCTTTTGATTTTCTTCATAATTTTACCAAAATATTTGCAATGTGGCCATCATTCATTGGAATTGTTGGAGAATTTTGGGATACGGGAGCTGCCGTGGCTGCTCATTGGGGTCATTGTCATCGACTTAACGTTTTAACAAAGTCATTCACTCACACACTCAAAGGCCGCGCGGCAGCAGCCGTGGCCCCCTTGAGTCACTTCAGAAGAAGGCTGGAAAGAATCAAACTCTCTCGGTCAGGTCAGGTCACAGCTTCAGCTTCAGCTTTCAATTAGTTTCACTGTCATCATGGGTTTGAATGTGAAGATGTCGTTTGTAAAGAAGAGGGGGGACCTTGTGGAAGCATTGCCTCAACTGTGCAGCACAGGTCGCCTCCCAAGTCGTCTGCTTCAACTGCACAGGGGTGAATTTAGAGGCCAAAGATGCACCAGCACGCACGAATAAACACACGGGCACGCGGGGTCAGGAATGACAGTGTATTGGGGAAGGGGGTCAGTGTCCTGGAGCAGCAGGTGGGACCGCTGTGGGCGTCAAGTGTTGCACGTCTGGGGCGGGAGGAAGCACCGAAGGGCCATCAATCGGTAAAGCCGTGGAGGAGACGGACTCTGAGGGTGGAGGTTGGTCGAGCGAGCGGGTTGAATCAGCATTCTGTCGCATATTTGCGCGGCGTCGTCGCTGGCGCTCAGCGTCGCGGCGTCGCATGGCCTCTAGTTGTGCCTCATCCAGCTGTGCCCGGCGCCGACGGGTGTGCTCAGCATTGCGTTTACGATGATCAATGATCTCGTGGGATGTCATGCGCGCTCGACGCACACGTTGACGCTCCGCATTAGAGCGGCGCAGTTGGTTTCGCCTTGTCTCAGGCATGGTGGCCCGACGAATGCGCTGCTGGTCTGCCTCGCGATGCCGAAGGCGTTCAAGGTCAAGACCAGACATGTCAGACCGACGCTGCCGTCGCCGGTCTGATTCACGCACTCGAACGGCCTCACGCTGCTCCTCTGTTAGCTCTGCACGAGAGCGCCGGCGTGTGGTTGGTGCCGGTGCTGGGGCTGGCAGGAGCAGATCGTGATCGTAAGGTTGTGGCTGACCAAAGGTGGTGATGTATGAGATATACGAGGCGAGGGCAGGGTTCTGAGCCAGCAGAAAGGCCTCAATCTGCTGCACCAGCATATTGAGGTCATGGGCCTGCAGATCGTCGTTGCCATCAAAGGGGGCTTTACTGGGTGGCCAGATAAGAGCACGCTCCATGAGCAAAACGCCGGCGTCCCAAACGCACTCAATCATTGGCTGGAGAGATGGATCCTGCCCCGTCAGAGAAGCCACGAGGTAATACGTGTCAAAGGGTTTACGACTGTATATCAGCCGCGCAATGGCGGTCCACACCCAATTGGGCGCATGTCTAAATCGGCATTGAAGCGCAGCAAAGGAAGACAGAAGCTGGCCTGGCGGCACGAGCTGCGAAACAGACCGCACAATCCTGTCGCGATGCCAACGGGCCAAAAAAAACAAAAAATAAAAAGAACAACAGCCAGAGATGAGTTCAGAACGAGGTGCACGGCGGCGCAAGGGGCCACCCACAGGTCTGCCAAGATCACACGCGATGCGAGGCTGCGGCTCATGACACGACCGCCGACCCCGGCAGGCAGGGCCCTCGTGTCATCAAAACACGCACCGATTTGGGCATTCGGCATACAAATGCTGACTATCGCCGCATCGTACGCATCCTGCAAAGTGAAGATGCTGCTGCAACTGGTGGTGGTGCGGCGGCGGATAGTGAAGATGATGTGGGTGTCCAGCATCCGTCATTGCGCCGCCGCCCAGTCTCGGTACATCGTGCAGAGCGAGACGAGACGAGGAAGATGGAGAGGAAGAGAGAAGAGAGAGAGTGAGAAGAGAGAAGAGAGAAGAGAGAGAAGAGAGAAGAGAGAAAAATAGATGAATAGTAACAACAGAGAGCAAGGGAGAGAGAAAGAAAAATAATACATGTAATTCATCTCTCTCTGTCTCTCTCTGTGTGACTATTTTCCAGTTTGACGAGTCGAAGCCATGTGAGACGTCACTGGCAGCGGGTGCAGACCCTCCCCAGTCCCCAGTCCCCAGTCCTCACACTGAGGACTGGGAAGCGGTTTGCACTTGGACTTGAAACCTTTCTTCTTTATCTATCAACACGACGCCGCTTCCAATGGGAAGAGTGAAAGCAATCCCGTGGCTGGCCGCGGCCGTGTCGTCGCGTTGGCTTGAAAACAACATGACGAGGTATGTGGCCGTTCCTTTTGATTTCAAGTGATGGCCCTCTCGACTCCCGCGCCTGGCGTGGGCCGTTGTCCGCTCGAGGATCTGCACAGCTGCGATAGAGCCAATGAGCATCAAAACGACCCTATATGGAGTTGAGCAGGGCCTCACTTGTTGTCGAGACAAAACCTTTCCTGTTTGGAACCGAGTTCCAGCCGGCGTGGGTTTCTTCTCGCTCGTGGCTTTCTCACAAATACCCTTGACCACCTCCTTTTAGTGACCTGCACACATCTCTACTCTGAACCTCGCCACGTTGGGCACCAAGTGACCGACGTGCCCAATGACATGTCGCTTCTGAAACACACGTTTGGTAAGCTGCGTCACTCAATCTTTCTTATTCGTTTTTTGCCACGCCTGGCAGTGGGGTTTTGGGCACGTCCATGATGGATCAATCAGAACCACTATCCCCAGTCACGATCTTGTGTCGTGACGTTGACGAGCAAGCCTTTTCTGAGACTTGCCCACAGCCCCACTCTTGCCACATGTGCCTTTGATCGACGCAGCCTTGTTGCTCCTCAGCCCCTCACACTGCTGTATTTTCTTTTGCCTGCTGCTCTTGTAGGTGCGTTCTGTCAACTTGACATCATGGGCAAGCTTTGACAAAACGCCATCTGGCATTCACGTGGCCAAGAGCGATTATTAGCCTGATTCATTTCTTATTTTTTGCGGGTTTATTTTTTTCGGGTCAGCCTGGTCGTGTTGTACAAATTGACATCAACTGGTTGCCTCCTCTGATCCGGGCCTCAAGACAGGCAATCATGCACTGCAACCCGACCTGTGGTCTCCTTGGCCAGGCATCAAGAAATTGAGCCCCCGCCTGCTGATGCCGAGGGTTTGATGTCTGTCTACTCTTGCCATGGCTGTCTCCTGCGCTAGACAAGCCAGGTGTTGTGACCATGCAGCTGACCGACCCACCATCAAGGGGTACATGTTAAACAGGATGAGAGGAAAGGGTCAAGAGACACGGCGATTCTTGCCCGGGTCTGTGCTGGTCTACGTCTTGGCATATCCAGGACTCGCGCCCGTCCATTAAAAAATATGATAATATTCTTCGCCATCTGGGCGGAGGGGTTTGATTATTTTCATGTTAGACCATATTATGCAGTGCGCTCGTGTGTGCTTCCGTCCATCACATACGCCAAGAGTACAGGGGACACGCCATTAGCATTGATATGTTTTGTCGAGCACAGCACTCAAGGTGGAAGCACAGCTGCACTTGCGCACACCGTTGGCCTTGGGCGCCCTCCCTCTCGTGGTCTGCTTGAGCGACGATGACGTTCACCCGTGTCGGAGCTGGTCACGTGCGAGGAACCAATGTTTGGCACGAGCAGTAAACAGTGGGCCCAGAAAAAACCGTTTCGAGCCGTTTGGCGGTGCGCGCCGAAAACCGAGACGTTGTTCTTTTTTTAGATGATGATGGTGTTTGGCGGCTTGATGCCATTCTTCTTTGAGGGTGCGGGTTGTGCATTTTTTTTCTTACTTTTTTGCTTCTTCTTCTTTTTCCTTCTTCTGCTTCTTCTCTTGCTTGACCGTTTTTTTTTTTTCTTTCTGCTTCTCTTTGCTGATCACTTGGCTACCTCCCCGCCTCGCGTCTGGTGTCTTGAACGCAAGACCCGCAAGCATGGCTCTCGATTCGGCCTTTGCTGATTTGGCGGAGCGCCTCAAAGGAATAAATCTGGATTCCGAAGCGACCGCGTTGATGCTGAATAGCTTTCTCAAGGAGCGACAAGCAGAGCGGGAGCGGGAGGAGCGACGAGCAGAGCGGGAGCGGGAGGAGCGAAACGCAGTGGTTGGTTGATCAGGTTTTCCCGCCGCCCCTCGTGTCCACAAACGGCTGTCTAACAACGCAAATGTCTGGAACGAAGGACTCACAGCGTACCCTCACTTTGTTTATGGCTTGTCAGCTCGAGTGCCTCGTGCAAGATTTTGCGCCTCCTCAAGGCTATAACCTCGTGAAGCATCTAGCAAGCATGTCGGTCGACGACGTTTCCTTTTTGTACACTCTCTGCAAGAAAAACCGTCTTACTTGCGACCAGCTTGAAAACTATGTGCACATTCCTGGTAAAGCATCGCTCGCTGGCTTGGCGCGGGACAGGCGACGGCTGTTTCCCGCCTGCCCTGTGCGCATGGACTGGGTGCTCAAGCTCACTTGTGGTGCCTTGGGACCGTCAACAATTCTTAGAACACAAGTGGACCCCGAAGGGAGCCTCGTTGCCCACGAACGTGGAGGCCAAAGTGCCCAAGCTGCCACCCTCAGGAACCCGGAATATCAGCGACATCAACGACAACGTCAGAGAAAAATTCCATTTTGGCATTGTGCAACTACCTCCGAGCTGTCATTACCTGGCTCTTGAGATTGTCCAGCGAGCTCAAGAGCTTTTGTCTGCCAATCTACCTCAAGAAGGCATACATACGACTTTGCTCCGCGCCTACACAAACGCATGCCTGACTAACGAAGTGAAGAGCCATGAGCCACACTTCTCGTCACTGATTACACTGGCTTTGCAGGACCACTTCATTGCCCCTGCCCTTGCTGCGACTTCGGCCCAGGTTGCTGTCTCCAGCCCATCTGAGACGGAGCCGTTGGCTGACACAACCGCATCCACCCTCGCCACCAAGCAGGCGTCAGTGAGAAACCCCATTTACTTGGTACACCAGGCATCTCTTGGCTCAGCCAACATGCACGCTGACTGGGTGGGGTTTGACGTCCTGCTGCGACCCGTCATCGTGGGCGAGTGCAAAATGAGCGCCCAGCACTTTGACGAATTTGGTGGCCAAGTGGCCAACGAGGTTGTGCGCCTTGGCCTCTTGGGACCGAAATACCAAATGCGAAAGGACAGGCAGCACCCACTTCACCCCTTCATCAACATTAATGTGTGTGGTGACATTGTGACCGCTTATCTGGTCCTGCACTTGACCAGCAGTAACATGGTTGCCACGATTCAAAAGATGAAGGGCCTTGAGAAGGAATACTACCTGGCTTTTCTCCGACTTGGATCCGCCCAAATCTCCGAAAACCGCGCCGACCCTCAGGCTGTCTGGGCGCTTTTGACCGCTTGCAGAGAGTTTGTGACGGGTCGCCAGCATCAGATTATCGAAAGCGGTCGTCGATTTCCGCTTGTCTCCGAGCCCTTTCCCTGCCCGGCTCGGGGCATGGCCGGATGGACCTGCAAGGAAACGTACGGGCCCAATGTGCAGCAGTACGTGCATGACAGTGCGGGCTCGTGGGTCATCAAGCACTACGACTATTGGGGCCGCCAAGCCGAGTCTTTGGGTACAACAATGTACCAGATTGGCGATGACACTGCCCGCCTCCCACCATCACGCGATCTGCTCCGTGCGCTTGCTGAGTTGCCAGAGACGGGCAAGTTTTACCAGGCGTGGGTGTTGGAGGACCTTGCGACGGGCTTGGTGCTTCTCCGGTACCCACGAGTACAGACGGCCCCGTGCGGCCTTCAGGTGCCGATGCAGCTGATCGATGTCATGAAGCAGATGCAAGTGTTGCACAAACTTGACTTGGTGCACGGCGACATTTTGCAGCGCAACATTCTCTTTTGCAACAGCTGGCAGCCGGAGGATTGGATGTTTCAGCCGCCCAGCTGGGAAAAGAAGGAGGAAGAGGAGGAGGAGGAGAGCCAGCACAGCCCCGAGGCTCAGTCCGGCAATGTGACGCCATGTCAAAGCCGTCAGCCCTCGCACGACGAGCTTTCACTGAAAGACCTCTTCGTGGAAGCGGTCGCAGAGGAAGAGACTGTGCAAACGCAGCAAAGGCCGAAGCCGATGGCTTTCCTGATTGATTTCGACCTGGGTGGGCCCTGTGATGAAGCAACGTATGGACCTGGTTACAACTACCAAGGCGGCCTTGAAAAGTACCGCCACGCCAATGCCAGGCCCGGCGAGCGTTTACAAAAGGAGCACGACACCTATTCTTTGGCACGTGTGGCCGAAGATCTGCTCGAGGACAACGACGCCCGTAAACGGCTGGTCAGAGCCTTGGAGGCGGTCAAGTTGGACGAGGCGATTGAGTTGTGCAGAGCCTGCACTGGGCGTTCGGGGCGTGGCTGAGGCAGCAGCTGGATCGTAACGGACATTTGGCCCAGCCATGCAGTTATGCACATTTTACAAGTCTAGCGAAGGACATGCAGCAAATTGGGGCTCGCCTGGGATCGTAAGTTTTGGGGTTGTTGGGCTATATTCTTTATGCAGTATCGTGGTATCTGCGGGAAGGAGCCCATGTGGCATCACTTTATTGCTTGGTCGATCGGAGCAATACAATCAAGACATGACGACGGCGGGGTATGGCATCGTCGCCGTGCTGTAAAGGCAAATGAAGAATGGAAGATTGAATTGGGCGGGGCAAGACTCGCCGGCCACCCATCTCTAAACGTGAAGTCTTATCCGAATAAGCAATCTAAACGAGGTGTAATAGCGTTTTTTTAACAAACCAGAGCAGAAGCAGGAAGGAGAGGGGCTGAAAATCGAAGCCGGGCCTTTATTACTATGACACACATAATGAAGCCAGGTGCTGAATGGCAAAGTGGCGTCAGGTTCAGTAGTCCATCACGCTTGCGCCGCTCTGGCATTCCCGCTGGCTCTTGTCCTTTCCCAGAACCAGCTTGATTCAGCTCGAGGAAAAGTTACGTAGCTATTCAATGATGTCAAGTGTGTCGGGGCTCGGGCTGTATTTCATGTGGTGCGGGTGCCCTGCTCAACCCAAGAAAGAATCGTATGGTCGTGCAATGGTTTGAATACTCCGGATGCCCTGGCAATTGCGACTCAAGCGCATCAGCTCTGGCTCTGGTCGAAATGTGTGTTGGGGAGGCTGCCAGACGGCTCAATATGGCATTAACCACCGACACCAGAAGCCTTTACTCATTTTGTTGAATTATTCATCGAGAAGAGACTGTACACACAGAGACACACACACACACGCACACACAACACTAAACCACAAAACATGCGATGGAGTTTTTTTTTTTTCTGCCAAATACAGTCGGCCCTCCGTTTTGAAAAAAACACATAATAATATTATTTTCAGAAACGACAATCCTGAGGTTCAGAAACACACGCACACACAACACTAAACCACAAAACATGCGATGGAGTTTTTTTTTTTTCTGCCAAATACAGTCGGCCCTCCGTTTTGAAAAAAACACATAATAATATTATTTTCAGAAACGACAATCCTGAGGTTCAGAAAAGACAGCCCCTCGGACCAGTTGCATGTTTGTATCACAGCCGAGCAAGGTGAGACCTTTTAAAGTAGACGTTGGTACTGACGTGTTGCCCGCTCCATTTCCTACGAATACACGTTAATTTTGGCACCATTCTTTGCTTGCGTCAGGGGGCAGGCTGCCATTTCGCTTGCCCTGAGCAGAATATCGGGCTCGATGGGCAGTGCCTTAGGAGGTTGTCATTAAATTAGCACTCGACGCACCCTTGGAGGGGGGAAACATTTGATTCGCAAGCAGTCTATCTTCCGATTGCAATGCGCCCACATTCATGACCATACACGATCAACAACCAAAGTTATGGAAATTTTAAAAAAACGGGTTTGAGCACTACGGGCAAATGCCGATGCCGGCTAGGCTAAACTTGAGGCACAAGTGGATGTTAGCTTCGCAATTTCTGTTCGATATGCCCGTGTGGGGGCATCGCATGCTTGAATCAAACGATCCATCTCTTCGATGTTCAATTGACTCATCTGCTCGAACCGCTGGGTCTCGAAAAGCCCTGGGTCAGCCTCTCCATCGCCTGCGGGTATGTCATCAGGTAGGTCAGCAGCCCAACCGGCCAGAGGCCCGTGTAAAACGAAACCGGAGTTGGTGCCAATGTTGGTACAGTCGAAAAACGAATCTGTTTCGTCGGATTCCGAGTCATCCGCAGTGAAGCCCTGGTTGGTGGGCGACTGACTTGATGAGGGCTGTGGCAGCTCTTCTGTTGCAGAAGCTACCTGCGCCTCGGAGGTTGTTTGAGGCTCGGTTGTTGACAATCCAGGAGCCAATGCAGGGGTGGTTTGCAGGCTCGTTTCCGTGCACTCGAGGTGGGCAGGGTCGTGTGTTGACGCTGTGGATGGTGTGAGATCGGCAACCAACCCCAATTTCGCCTGGAGTCTAGTTAACAAGTCCGGCTTGTTGCCCGTGCAAGGCAAGCCTAGTCGTTGACATGCTACTTTGAGGTGTTCTTTGGTCGTAGCAGGCAGCCCAAGCTGCTCTTGCAGCTGTTGATAAGTTGCACGAGCCCTAGATCGCTCATGGGCTGATGATGATCGAGCAGCAGCTCGTTGGTCTGATGCTAGGAGCCTATCTAGTGATGCTCCTGATGACAATAGACCATGAATAGAATCCACCCTGGTCCGTTTGGGCAAACTTTCTGCCGATGCCATAGTCAAATTGGCCACCAGACTTCGCTGTTGGGCTGTAACATCGAGATGACTTTGCTCAAGGCGCTCAATGCAGCGTATTGCTCGTTCGCACCAGCGGGTGGTCGTTCGTGGGGTGCTCTGGGCAGCAAGTTGTCCAGGATGTGCTTCGCTTGGTTCAGGAGACATGGCTCCTGAAGCAGGCGAGGTATCGGCCGCTTCATGCTCCGGGCTCGCTTCGTGAGGCTGGTTGCGCATGAGGTCAGTGCCCCAGTGGTCCTTGGCGATCCCAGCAGCCTTAAAAGCGGCCCGTATACGCTGGGGGTATTGGTGCTGCATATGGATGGCGGTATAAAGGGCAACTAGTTCCTCATCGATGGTTGCTGACCCGCCTCGATTGACCGTCGACGTTTCTGAGAGCAGCTTGATGCGATCGCGAGGAATGTGTTGATGCCACTGATCGTTTGGAGAGAGGCAATGGCTGGTATAAGGCGGAATCAAGAAGAGAAAAATGTTGATAGACTTGAGGTACGCGACGAGCCGTGATGATATGCGCGTCTTGTGCCCGTCAGATACCAACAAAATCGGCCCTCGGTGTCCGACGAATGCACGCAGCCGACGACAAAACCCAAAGAAAAGGGGTCTAGTGATCCATCCAGTTTTGTTTGCACAGGAAGCAAAGTGACCAAACTCGCGCCCAGACGCAATGCAGGTCGGGAGACTCACAGGTCCGGCGATTGTTTCTTGAGGAAGCGTGCGTTGCTTGTGAATGACCATGGGAGGTGCCAGACCACCAGCAAGGGAGATCGCAAGCACTACGGTTACGGTTCGGTTGTAGGTTTGCCCAGCCACTGCGCCACGATCGATACGACGCTCTTTCCGACAGTATACTTGCAACGTGCCCATCCCTGCCTTGAGGCCTGGCATTTCATCAATGGACCACACGTGTGATAGTCCTACGTCGACGCGTGGAATCGCACGTGAGCTGGGTCAAACTGAACGTTAACACGGTCTGATTGACTTACGATGCGAGCGGATTGTTCCTGCATGGGGTCCTGAGAGGTGCAAAAAGTTGAGCTGGCGAAGCGCATCTTCCAGACTTAGAAAGTGTTCTTCACAGCGAGGCCGGGTAGCAGCCGCTACTCGCCGCGGATCTTGGGCCTTTGCGGTCACCAAAAAATATGAAAACTCAGCCTCCCAGACCGGGAACCATCTCTCTCGCAAGGCCGTTCTTTGGGAATTCTTGCTCGCCGCGCGTACACCCGCCAAACGCTCGAGGAAGGCACGTTCACGGTCATTCAAAGGCTGAATCTTGTCCCCGCATCGGTGATCTTTTGCTGAATCGCTCGTTCGCGCGCTGCTTGGCGGGTCTCAAGGAGCTGACGCATGAGCTCCATCGCCTGTGCTCGTGTTCTGGCTTTGTTGTCGTCAGCAAATGTGCCCACATATTGTGCAAGCAATTGTCGTTCAGAATCTGTCAAAATACGCCGATGATCCCCATGACATGTTTGTTTATCGGCGCGATTTTGGGCTGCATAAATGTCCTTTGGCCCCAGTCCATAGAGGCTGACTACCAGTGATGCGGTGGGTGGTCTCCTGCCAGGGTGCGAAGGATCGGGCCGTAGTTGCGCCAAGGTAGCACGGGTCACATGGGTAATGCCGTGGACCTCCAGGAGTTCGTCAATTTGCTCAGGCATCTTTGCACCCGCGTGCACCGCTATGATCAGTCTATACAGTGCCAAGGCACGATCGGCAAGTGCCCGCCCCGAAGCCTTTGCGGCCTGCAGAATCGCCAAAGCATAACCATCAGGAACATGCCACAGCAAATAAATCCCTCGACAATTGGCACGGTACAAAATGCATACAATTCATCAAGACACTACACTATACCTGCTTGTGAACCCGGGCTTCATGGACACTGGGCTGGACGGCCTTTCGAGGCATTACGCTGGAGAGGGCGTCACGACCTTTCGCACCAGCACATTGCAAAAACGGCAGCGCCTTTCTCGAAGGAAAAACATTCGATCACACCAAGAGGCGGCTCATATTAATCGCAAAGCAATAATTCATCAAGTACACCAGATCTGTTTCCAACAACACGCCACAACGGCACCCACGCCCCGGATCAATGCCGAGACGAGATTCGACGCCCCCCCTCACATCGACCTCAAAGCGTAACGGTTGTTTCTGAAAATAATAATATTATTTATGTGTTTTTTACAAAAAGGAGGAGGGCCGACTGTATTATTATGCAGTTTGTTGTCGAGAGAATTTAGCGTTTACATGATTTGAATTTTGGGGGGCTTGACAATCATTGAAAGAGGGGCAAGGGTTGTGGTGACCTAAAAACGAGAGGGAGAAGTAGAGAAAGGGCAGGGCGAACAGGCAGAGGCACCACTGGCGTAAACAGACACAAGGTGGCACGGACAACTCGGTTGCTGAACGCAATCGAGAAAGACAAGCTCGCCTGCACATCTGGTTTTGATTGTGCATAGTTGTCTTATGTGTCTTCAAGCGACAATGCGCCCCGCAGCGGGATATCAACCAACTCATGACCCCAATACAAAGAGAGGTTGGCAGCATAGCACACACAACCACCAAGCAAAACACGGCACAAAACAAAAGCAAAACGCATAAAGGGACCAAACTTGGGAAAATGCGTTGTCGCGCTCGCGGGTTAAACCCTGGTGTAAGTGTTTTTGTTGCACCATGGGCTGCTCAAGAGCGCGCGCCCCCCCTAGCCCGCTACGGAGTTGTCCCAGCGAAGGAGGATGGTAGTACACATGACAAGGCAGAGGACGGAAGACCAGCGAAGCAAGGCAAATGGAAGAAGGATAAGCCAGAGGGCTACAAGATGCCAATGTGGGGGCACCTTATGACCATGGCAGGAGAAAGAGAATGGGCTGCGAGAGCAGATTGGCCTTCCAACGTAATCAGGACACTGTGCAAGGACCAAATTAGCCAGGCCAAGTGATTACCCAGTTGTTTACTGGGGAACTTGGATGTTCTTGTCGGTGTTGGCATCGGGCCAGCGCTCCATGGTCTGGGTAGCGAAGAGGCCCCAGATGCCGACCAACATGAGGGAGATGATGAAGATACCTATGATCAGGCCCATGAGGATGGGAATGCTGAACCACTGGTTGGCCACCTCGTGGCGCTGCTGAATGCGAGTGGTGATGTAGTTATCGCTGGGGGAGGCGGGAGGCGTGGGGAGGGTGTCGCGGCGTTGGCGCAGCGACTCCATCGAGCGCGTCACGGTGGGCATGTTGTCGGCCTCGACCAAGATGATACGCAGGGCGCGCTCAGCCACCTTGCCCGAGAAAGCCTGGAGCTCCGAGGCTGCGCCAAGGGCGTTCACCCGAGTTGGTGTGATGGATGAGTCGAGCGTTTAGCATTGCGCGAGAGAAGAGAGCCGAGGGCAGAGGGCAGCATGCAAAGTTGCTTGGTGAAGCAAACTGACCAAAGTTGGCAATGGGTTGATCCACAGAGATGACGACGAGGCCCTCCGCCTCGATGTTAAGAGTATCTTAAAAAAAAGAAAAAGGAGGGCAGATCAGAGTGGTTGCATTTTGGTGTGCGAGGACACAATGGGGTGCAAGTACTCGGGAGCGTACCGAGGCTGAGCTGGCCGTTGGTAGCGTTGATCAGAGTGGGCTTGCTCTGCCACGCCTGCACAAAGCTGTAGAAGGAGAACACGTAGAGTTGCAACAGGAGGCTCACGCATCAGCCTCTGGTGGTCTGCAAGGGACTGCATGCATGATAAATGGGCCAAGAAAACTACCTGTCGGGGGACTCGTTGGTGAAGCCAAAGCCACGCGTGGCAGCGGCCTCGTACAGGGACTATCAGAAAGCGAGGGAGGGAGGGAGGAAAGGAGCAAGTGACAGGGAAGAACAACCCCACCGACGGCGTGAGCTCCGGCGGGCTTTATGAGATAGCTTTTCGTTTGTGGGCAGGAAAGACACCGGCATGGGACTTACGCTGCAGGCTTCACAAGCGGCAACCTGGACAGGGGGTTCAAAGCAAGGATTGTTCGGGCAAGGAGTGGAGTGGGAGGGAGAGTCATGTCAATGAGCGCTGCGTTGGCCAAGCGGAGCGAGGCGTGCGTGCGGCGTGCGTGTCGAAAAGACCAGCCGGCGGGAGTTGTCTGCTGCTCAAACAAGACAGGCGGAGCGCCGACAACCGTACCTGAGGAGCCTTGATGACCAGGGTCAGGCCCTCTGCCAGACGGGCATCGCTGATAATGTCCGATGAGGAGAGGGAGGAGCCAAAGGCCGGGGCAGTCGCGCCATCGAAGCAGCTACCATTGAAATTTTGGACGACAGCGGCACATGTGTGAAATTCTGGAGCAAAGGTGTTTGCAGCGGCTCCAGAAAGAGAAGCGAGCTGGCTCGACCCGCCAAGCACGCGCGCGGCACAACTTGTGCACCGACGGGCCTGCCTGTTTCCCTCATCATCACAAACGCACCTGCTCGACGACCAGTAGAGGACGGTGGCGCCGCCATCGACGGCGAGCGCGAGGGCAGCCAGGGCGACCAGACGACAGAGCAGCATCTTGGCGGGGGAGCAAAAGATAAATAAGGCACGGTACCATTTATTTCCCTTAAACCAATACAAAATTTCTACTGGTGACAACATCTGTTTTCATCCGGGGTGTGTGCTGGAGGAACGAACGGCGTGGTTGTGAATGTCATGCTTTTTTTGGAAAAATGTCATCGTCTAGTGTAAAACGCGTGTTGTGAACTTGTTGGCAGACCGCGAACCCAGTGAAAACTCACGACAACTTGAATTGCGCAATTGACAGGGGCTAGCAGCAGGGGGGAGATGTATGATGCCGTGGCCTTGTCAACTGACGGGCGTGTCAGGTTGAAGTGTGGAAAAGCAGAAGACGGCGAGGGCGACAAGGCCAACGCGAGAATCTGAAACCGTCAGTCCCTTTGACGTGCGCCCCCCCTTCCCCAATGCAGCGCCGAACATGGTGTCCGCTCTGCTTACATGTTCATGTCACACCCTTTGGCCGATTTGTCCGTTGGGCACGGACAGCTTGACAAAGCATCGCATGTCGTCTGCCCCCGGCAGCGCTGGCTGTGGGAACACCAGTGCCCCCTGCTCCTGTTGAGCAAGATTCCTGTCAACTATGGCCTTGATGATCAGCTTGAGTGGTCTCTGGTCTCACAGCCCAAACCCTAGTTTGCAACCGCTTCCTTTCTCCCGTTTGTCCAACAAGCGTTGCCGATAAGAGAGAAGAGAGAAGAGAGAAGAGAGAAGAGAGAAGAGAGAAGAGAGAAGAGAAGAGAAGAGAGAAGAGAGAAGAGAGAAGAGAGAAGAGAGAAGAGAGAAGAGAGAAGAGAAGAGAGAAGTGAAGATAAGAGAGAGAGAGAAGAAGAGAGAGAAGAATACTGAAGAGAGTGACGAGACAAACCACAAAAGCGAGAGAGAGAAACAGCGTCGACTTGTCGCGGTTGTGCCCTGCCAGCGGACGAGTGCACAGCGGACGAGTGCTTAAGGGAAGCGGGGGAGTGTTGGGGTGGAAGGAGATGTGAACGGACACAGAGATGAATGGATACGACGCTGCGCTCAAATTTGAATGTGGCGTGGCGAGGCAATCGAAGGATGGCAAAGTCCAAGGAAGAAGGCGGGGAGCAAGACCTGAAACCCAAAACCCAGAACCATTCACACCCAACTCCGCAGAATTCAAGAGGCACCATGGCACAGAGAGAAGAGAGAGAGAGAGAGAGAGGGAGAGAGAGGAGAGAGGGAGAGAGAGAGAGAGAGAGAAGAGAGAGAGAAGAGACAGAGAGAGAGAGAGAGAGAGAGCGGGAGAGACAGAGAGAGAGTGTGTGTGTTTCAAGAGAGAGAGTTTAAGAGAGAATTTGAGTGCTTGTGAGAGAGTGAGAGAGAGAGAATTTGAGTAGAGAGAGAGAGAGAGAGAGAGAGTTGTAGAGAGAGAGAGTTTGAGAGAGAGAGAAACAAAAAAAAAAAAAAAAAAAACTTCAAAGAGAGAAAAATCACACACACACACATCAACCAGCATAACAACACACACACATTGCGCGACAAGACATTTGCAAAGTGAGAACGGTAAGAGAGAGAGAGTGAGAGAGAGAGAGAGAGTGTGTGTGTGTGCCGAGCGGGGGGGGGGGTCATGCTCTCTGGTCTCTGGCCTCTGGTCTCTGGTAGTGTGAGCGTGTGAGCGTGTGTGGGTGGCTCATGATGGTTGGTGTAGAGGTTGGAATAGGCAGTCGTTGGCTTTGGTACCTGCCTGAACCGACAAGTTCCACTGCGACAAGGTACGAAGACATCATCGTGTGTGTGTGTGTGTGTGTGTGTGTGTGTCGGCAAGCAGCTGTTTCTGGTGTCGACCCGTTGGTGTCCGTCTGCAGCCCAACTGGTTGCCATCCCAAAGTCGGTGGCCTTGCTGCCCCTCCCATGGCTGCCCTCCCAGGGCTTCTTGACGTCCACACGCTCGCTTCTTCTTTCATACCCTCTCGACCCTACTTGCCACCACTCTCCCTGGAAACCAACTTTTGGGCGGCACATCCCACACTTGCAACTCGTTCGCACTGCCAAACACCCAACATCGGTGGACGCTTTGGTGCCCGAGACACTTACTCTGATTCGCACACCAGTGTACTCATTTGCGACCGTTTTTTTTTTACGTCTTCATCTTCATCTCAGTATCGCGTGCTGCTATCAACTCACCCTTCTCGACGGACTCTTGTCAGGTCGCAGGCTACCCTCGCCTCTGAGCTTGACGGCAGCAGTGGTGCCAATTATTTTTGACCTTGCCCAATCTTCCGCCCCGATCTGACTGGGCTCTGGCTCAGCGCCGTCAGTCGCCATGGACATTGGTGCTGATGGCAAGCACTCGGGGCCCCTCTGCTATGGTGACATCGTCTCCCTTTTTCTAACAGATGGCCCCGAGTACACTGGCTTCCTCAGCACTCTTGGGTACGGTGCAAATACACCACCTCTCAGCCCGCCCCACCCCCCCCCCCCTTTTTTTTTGCAACACATCTCTTTCCGGCCACCCTCACTTACATTCAGTCCTCAGCGGCGACACTCACAGCTTGAATCACTGTTCACTTTCTCCTCTAGCAACATTGACAATCGTGTCGTTGTGCGCCCCCAAAGCTCAAAGCGCTCCGTCAAAGTGCCTCGCAAGTTTCGAGGTAAAAACCCCCGGCAGCCTGTCCGTCGCCAATCCCATCCAAAAAGCTATTCTTTTGCCTGACTCAGCCGACCGACTACTTGCCCACCATCCGCCTAGATTGCTTGTTCCAAATCTGGCCCATGCACCGCTACATGGCCCAACAGCAATATGAGAAAGAACTTGCCAAACGTAGCCAGGACAAGAGCTCCAAAATTACCATTATGGCTGACATGGTCTACCTCAAGCAGCTCCAGCAGGCTGCCGAGCTCGAGCGCGAGCAAAACGAACAGGTCTCACCTCGCCATCCTCGTTTGCCGTCTCCATATTCCCACAGCCCCTCAAGCGTCTCACCTTCCTCTCAGCCGCCACTCCACACCAACCGCGAACGTTGCTCATCCTGCTTTGGCCTGCTCGCTTGCCCTTTTTTCTTCTCCGCATGACCATAGGAGTCACACAAGATTCTCAAGTCACCCGTTCAATATGGCAACGTCATCCAGCTCTTGCATCTCAAGAGCAACAAGTTTCTCACCGTCAACAAGCGTCTCACTGGGTTGGTGGAGAAAAGTGCCATGCGCGTTACGCTTGAACACGTTGGCAACGAAGGGTCTTGGCTCTCCATCTCCCCTTTCTACAAGCACCGCTCCATCAACGACTCGGTCTTTGTTGGTGACAAGGTCTACGTCAAAGCCGTTGGTGCCAACCAATTGCTTCACGCCTCCACCATGCGTCTTGCCGACAACCCGGGGTGTGCTGAAGTCAACGTCACAAACTGCCAGGACAGTTGGAAAATCATGCTCTATTACGAGTATGACAAGGATGCGGCTGCCTATCTAAAGGTCCGTAGCCTGCCGGTTCCCTTCAACAACCAGAAGAGCCAAATTCTCATGTTCGTCGCCCCGCCTTACCGAACATCGGCGTTCACGTGACACAGGGTGGTGACGTCGTGCGCCTCTTCCACGTTGAAGAGAATAAGCATTTGTCTGCCGATCGTCTCGCTCGTCGCGACGACCCCGTCTCCGTCTACCTGCGGACCGTCGGGCGCACCGAGAAGGTATGCCGACCATGCCAGCTCCATGTAGCTACTCATCCACTCCGACGGACCATCGCTTCTCCTCCATATGGACAGAGTTGCCTCCTCGTATGGACAGAATTAACAGCGGCCCCACATCCTCCTCGTCATTCTTAGGCCAACGTGGCGAGCTCCAAATCGCTCTGGGAGGTGGAAGTGGTCAGCGAAGAGCTCACTTACGGTGGTAACGGTCGATGGGATTCGTTCTACCGTTTCAAACATCTTTCCACCGATGAATACCTGATGGCCATCGACCCAAACGTCAGCGAAGACACCCACGAGAGCATCCGCAGTGGCAGGTGCGTTTTTCCTCATCGACCGAGCCTCAAACTTCATTAACCCACGCAAACCACCCCAGCTTCTATCAGTTTTTTTCCCCGCTTCTCATCAAAAACCTTGTTCTCATGTTACTCTCTCGCCTGGTGTGACTGGTGGCCGCTGCTGCTTCATCTGGCCACAGTCGCAAGGGCCGCCGCCGGCTCTTGCTCGCCACCACCACCAAGCGCCACGACGTCAACACCATCTTTGAGCTAGACTCGACTCAACCCATGGGTGGAGATGAGCGCGTGACCTCCGATGCTTTTGTGCGGCTCAAACATGTGGCTTCTGGTTGCTGGGTTCGGGCGCTCGATCAGTTTCTTGATGGCATCGTCGGTGGCGTCATCAACACCAAGCCCCAGCTAATGGAGGTGGGCGCTTCCACCGAGCGCGATGATCGAGAAGCTTTTGCCGTCGTACCCGTCAACAACAGCGAGATTCGCGACCTCGACTTTTGCTCCGATACCGTTCGCGTGCTCGAGAGCAACGCACGCCGGATCCGCAACGGGAGCATCAGCCTCGTGCAGCGCACCCAACAGCATCGTCTTTTGGAAGATCTCTTGTTCTTTCTTTTGGACCTGGAAGGGGTACGCTCCTTCCGCTCGTGTTACGCTTCAAGTTCAAGCGCTTTAAATGTAGCCTCGTTGAACCTTGGCTCATTCTTGTCGTGGCTGGCTCGCTGGTGATTCACGCGTTCCACCGTGGCCGCTCACTTGTTTGCACGGGTAACAGCGCTCTGCCGAAGGTGTGGATGTGACGCAACTCACGGGCCGCCCCAACAAGGACCGCCAGCGTTTGATGCGCGAGCAGGACGTACTCAAGCAACTGTTTTATACTTTGAAGGTGCGTATATGGGCGTATTGCGCCGAACATTGTCGTCCTGACGCAAGCGATTTACCTGACCTGCCACATCCTCGAACATCCAGTGCCCCTTCACAGCCGAAGCCTGCCAAGGCTGCGTCGGATCCATGATCAGTGACATGCAAGATATTTTTGAAGCCAAGTACAAATGGGTTCGCGAGCTGTGCCGCCTGTGCTACACCCTGATCCGATTCCTGGCCATGGACTACCGCCGCAACCAGGTATTACTATTTTCACCCAGCGTTTCAAAACGCGCGCGTGCTGTCAAAAGTGTAGCAAGCGCGCCTTTGCATTTATTTTGCTTCCTGCGTGTCCCCGCGCTCGCACACATTCACGCCCTGTGACTTTCTGATGCGTGCTCGCTAGGAAATTATTGCCCAGCATTTCGGTTTTATGCAAAGCCAGATTGGCTACGACCTTTTGGCAGAGGACACCATTACGCACTTGTTGAACAGCAATCGCAAACTGATGGAGAAGCACATCACCCACAAGGAGGTGGACAACTTTTTGAACCTCGTTCGCAGCAAGCGCGTATGTGCCATGCCTCTCGTCACTGCTTTGCGCTCGCCAAAGTTTGGCTGCCCCACTCTCCCCTGGCCCCCGCTCGCAACCTCTCCCAACCACTCTTTTGTGGTCCCATCTTGATGTATGGTTGACTTTGTTCCTTTGATGTTTGATTCGCTAAACTGGCTGCAGGAGCCTCGGTATATTGAATGCTTGTCTGATCTTTGTACCTCCAATGGCACTGCGATTGCCGGCACCCAAGAGCTCATTTGTGCAGCCGTCCTGGAGAACCCGCGCAACGCCGACCTCTTCTTCAACACCCAAGACAAGGTGTGCCCCTCGACTCTTGCCATTGGTCGCCAACAATATGCCCCGCTCTCTTCTCGTGTGCGTGCACTGACAGTGTACTCGACCCATCTTTCCTGTAGTATGGCGTTATCATGGTGGATTGGCTTGAGGAGGGGATTCACAAGGACAAGGCTTTGCACGACTTTGCATCGCCCAGCATCCCCGAAGACGAGCAATCCCTCGACATGTACCGTGCTCAGCTCGACCTCTTTGCGCAAATGTGCATGGACCGACAGTACAAAGGCATTAACAAGCTGTAGGTCATTCGCATATCAAGCCAAAGCGGCCCCACCTGCTCGTTCTGGCCACGCAACGCTTCCATCTCTCATGTCACGATGATTCCTTGCCTCCTAGGCGGAGCCGAATGGATGTTCGCTTGATTCTCAAGGCCATGAGCAACCCTTCGCTCTCGGACAGCCTCCGTGCTTCCTTCTGTCGCCTCATGCTGCATCTGCACGTTGATTCAGAGCCTCAAGAAACCGTGACACCCGTCAATTACGCCCGCCTGTGGAAGGACATTCCTCTCAGCATGGACGTCACGACCTACTCCTACCGCAGTGATGTCCACCAAAGCCACAGCGTGCGCTTTCAAGGCACCATGTTGTTCGTCTCGCAATATCTCGACGCCCTGGACGAATCAGGCCAAGATGCCTTTAGCCACGCCGATCGCAACAAGCTCACGCTTGAGGTGGTGACCCTCGCGCGCTACATGATTTTTTTCGGATTTTACGACTTTCAGGAGCTGGTCAAACTGGTCAAGCGCTTACTGCGCATCCTGGACGCAACCAACGAGTCGACCCGCATTCTTGACGACAATATTGATGCAGACACGCAGGTGGTCCTGGACACAAAGCAACAAATCATTGAAATTCTGAGCTTTTACATGGACGTGCGGCTTGACTTTCGCCTCTCGCGTCTCTTGGTGTTCTTCCGCAATACACTGGGTACCACTCGTCCGGACAGCCGCATGAGCACAGGTGCACGCGGCTCCATGTCCTCCACACCACCCATGCGACGTCGTAACTCGGGCGCCTTTGGAACCGATGTCGACCAGAAGCGGTTTCTTCGCATGGCCCGCAGCATCTTTGCCCAGGGCGTTCATGACGAGCAAGATCTCGAGGGAGAGGGCGATGACGAGGCTGGGTACGATGAGAGCTTGATGCAGGATATTTCTGCTGCGGCCGCCACGGGCGACATGGACGATCACTTCACCCGCGCATTTCTGCGTGTTCTCCTCAACCTCACCGTTTTGGATCACAGCGACGTTGTTTCTGGGGCTCTCAAACTGCTCTTCCGCAACTTCAATCAACGCCGCGAGCTCATTGAGGCCTTTCAACAAGTGCAGCTCCTCGTTTCCGAGACTGACGTTGAGGTTTATCGCAACACTCGCAAAGACCTGGATCGTTTACGCTCGATGGTTGAAAAGAGTGAGCTCTGGGTGTATGCCATGGAAGACGGCAGCTCGGCTGCGGCTGCGGCTGCCCAGCAAAACTTTGCTGTCATCAAGCGCGTCCTCGTCAACGTGTCTGAGCTGTGCCTTGTCGACTTCCGCGAGTCACGACTTCATCACCAGCGCCTGCTGCGCAATCTCAAGGCGCACTCGGAGATCATGCAGCTGCTGAAAATGCCCTGCGACGTGAGCGACCCAGCCATCCAGGACATTCATTGTGAGGCCCACAAGTTCTTGCAGGCCTTTTGTAACGGGAACAAGGAGAATCAGGCGGAGATGAGTCAGCATGTGGGCTATTTCATCGACCAAATTCGCGACGGCGCCGAGATGGCAGACGAGACGCTCATCTCCATTTATGCCAACAATAGCGACCTGTGCCGCAGCGTGAGCAAAGCCACTCTCACTGCTTTTATGGCTGCCGTGGGTGTGCGCGGCATGCGCCGTGTCTCACATATCCGCTTCCTCAAGACCATCCTCCGTCCCGACGGACAGGTCTTGCCACACGTGCAAACTATGGTCATTGAGGCCATGGCCAGCGTGGCAGCTGACTTCTTGCAGTTTTACAATGATCCCACTGCCTTTCGACAGCTGGAGATTCTACTGCGCGATGCCGATGAGGACCTGCTCACGACGCGGCGCGGTGATCCGACGGACGAGCTTCTGTGCCACATTGAGTTGATTGAGCTTATCTCCCTTTGCACTGAGGGCATGAACTCAAACACCGAGCGGCTCTGCCAGTCTCTCGTGCCTCTTGATGCCGTGGTCAAGGCAAGTGACAAACATCGCTGCGTTGCTGGAGCTGCATCGCCACCTGGCCGTCGTGTGCATCTTGTTGCTCGTCCACTCTCACCTCGTGTCCACCCGCGTGTGTTGGCCTCGCATTTCGCTCGGTCGCCTGCTTGTTTGCCTGGCTACCTTGCCACCCCCCCCCCCCCCTCTCTTTTTTTTGATACAATTTTTTTTAAAATAGGTTATTCGCCATCCAGACACACCGCCGCAGGTGAAGGTACCCTATACTTTCTTCTTAATCCACTGTTACCTCGAGACGGAGGTGGAGGTGAAGGAGCTGCATAGCAGCAATGACATGTGGCGTCTCTTGGACAACTTTGTCGAGGATATTGAACGCTTTTGCAGTCCCGACTACGACATGGGCATTTCCTCCTTCAACGACTACGTCACAGAGTGCATCACCAACGCGATGCGTCTGTACTTTCGCATTTTGACCGACTCCGAGTACGGGGCTCTGCCCAATACGTCCAAGGCAACATTTGTTCGGGTGGTGCAGGCCATGTGCACCCTTGCGGCGAAGACGGCACAAGTCCGGCTCATGAACGTCAACATCATTACCACCCTCAACCTTCTGGTGGACTTTGCACACCATCGCGGGGTTCAACTGGGGAATTTACTAGAAGCGCAGGTCAAAGAGGTCAGTCACCCCTGTGCCCGTGATTGCATCGAACGCGGCGCTGTTCACTGCGATCCCAAAAAAAGCCATAGCGCACCTCTTTGGTATCAGCACCTAGGCCATCTGATCATTTGTATCTGTCTTTCGTCGACACTCGCCCACGGTGATATTTCACTTTGGGATCGTTTGACTTTTTCTTTTAGACGGTTGAGACTTGCAAGCACGGCCCTGCGAACAGCATCAGCAAGTGGGTGCGCCGGGCGAAGAAGCGAGTCGAGGGTTCTGACTCGCTGGCCGAGGCCAAGACATCAAGCGGTGCAACTAAAGGCCGCCCAACAAGCGCAGATGGGGAGCGCAGCATGGCCAAGCAGGTCGTGGACCAGCTTGAGCACATGATTCACTTTTTGGTGCGCTCGTTAACACCATCCTCGCGTGTTGAGGAGTCCATTTTGGTGGACGTCCTCCACCACCCACATCGTCTGCGAGAGATGGACAGCGGGTTGGACCAAGAAGTCTTCCTGGCCAAGCTGATCGCGCACATTCGTTGCCGTGACAGCGACGACCCAGACAGCGTTGACAAGGACCTACGCCTGCAGGTGTGCGACCTGACTATCGCTCTCTTGCTTGATGCCCCTCCATCTGCATTGCTGACACTCTTTATGCGCTGCATTGCCATCTTTGAAAGGTCTTGAGCGTATTGAATCGCATGCTTAGTCCCGAGTTGTACACGGGCGATGATCGCACGCTGCGCCTCGCTCTGCTGACCACCTTTTTTGACGACGATGCACTGTCGGACCCCACGTTTCATTTGAATCCGACGGATACGCTCGAGGTTTCAGAGGCGGTGCAAGATTTGCTGGATCACAGCGGTGCCTCGGTGCTGGTCATCGAGCTCATTATGACGTCTGATCACACTCAAACCTTTTATGAGGTCGGCTCCCAATCGTTGGCTGTGGACGTTGTTGACTGGATTGCGTCTGGCGTCTCGCATGCAGACCGGACCGTGTATTCTGACGTCGCGTTGCTTGCATGTCCTTGGTGTTGTTGGCAGGCACTGCAACTGGGTATTAATCTTCTTGAGGATGGCAACGAAAACACGCAGGCTTCTTTTTATGAATTTTTCCGAGCCAACGACTCGACAAACTTTTTTGCCAAAATTCAGGTATGTTTTAGCTTCTGGCAAGGCGCAACATTGTGCCCCCCAACAAAAAAACAAAACAAAACAAAAAAAAAAACGCGCTTTTGCGGTACCCATGCTCGATGGTTTCCACATCGCTTTGTTTTTTTGATATCTCATTGGCCCTGGTGCTTTGTATTCCAGGACAAAATGGCCAAGTCCAAGCTGGATCTCAAGCAAGATGAGGACAGCGTCAAGCGGGAAAAATCGGCTGATGATAGCTCTTGCATGGTGGCCATTCTGCGCCTGCTTCAGCTCCTGTGTGAGAACCACAATAGTCAGCTGCAAAACTATCTTCGCGTGCAAAAGGACAACAAAACATCATACAACCTTGTCCTTGAGACGGTCAAATACCTGGACAACTATGGCTTGGCCCTGACTCTGTCCGATCAAAACGTGGGCAACATTGTGCAAGCCCTCTCCACCCTGACCGAGTACTGTCAGGGCCCATGCCCAGCCAACCAGGAGACCGTGGCCAGCCACGAGTCGAACGGTTTGGACATTGTTGTCAAGGAGCTGCTGCTCTACGAGTTCCCGGAGCTTGAAAAGGGCCTGCGAGCCCGGCGGCGCATGCGCACGCGACCGGAGCTGCTCCTCGAGGTCAAAAAGCAAGCCTCAGCCCTCCTGCTGTCCGTCATGGAGTCGCGCCAGGACGAAGCCTTGGCGCATCGCATCTTGTTCAACATGGATAAGCACCAGCTGGTCAACATCATCTACAAATTGTACGCTGCTATGGAGGATGACGACGATGCGGAGCGTGACATTACATGCACGTCACCGTGCGCGTGCCCTCAATGTCGCCGCGATGTGGGCCACAGCATCTACGTTCTGGCTGTGACGCTGGCGCACCGCAACGCCGAGCTGGCGCGCTTGCTGCAGCAGCGCAACCTTATCCCTGATAAGGAGCAAGAGGAGGCTGAAAAGCAGCCTGTCGTCGAAAACACGCCCATGCAACGAGCCATTGCCTACTACGCGCAGTACACAGATTCGATTGAAATTTACCGCAATGGCCGCCTTGAGCAGATTCACTTTCCCATCCCAGCCATTTGTAACTACCTTTCGGACAACTCCAAGGAGAAAGTGCTGCTGGAAACCGACGTTGATGAGCAGAATAGCAAGATTCCCGAATTCTTTCAGTCGGTCTTTCTGCTGTACGAGGAGATGAAATGGCAGAAGCGTCTCAAGTCGCGTCAGCGCATTTACGATGTCACCGTCCTCTACTCGCTCTGGAAGTCGCAGGCCTTTGTTTTGGGTCTCTTGCTCAATGTGTTGGTGGCGGGCACATTTCCCTATGACACCTTTGAGATGCAAAGCTCTTGGCGCGTGTTGTTGCTCCTGTACTCTTTGGCTTTTCTGGGCTGGGTGGGGACCGCCGTGTGCTGGGATGTGTGGCGTCGACGCAACCAAAAGCTGCCTGTCTCGGAGCGCATCGTCCAGCTTGGTATGTGTGGTTGAGTTCTCGAAGCGTCGCTTACTAGTCTCTCCGTGCGCGAGCCCGTGCCTGAAACCACCTGTGTTTCAATCTGACTTTGAGCGTTTTCGTGCCCTTGATTGCAGAAACCCTTCTGAACAAGTGGAAGCGTCGGGATGAGGAGGAAGATGAGGAGGAGCAGAGCCACATCTCTTTGGACGACTACAACTGGCGTGCGCTGCAGCTGGCCGTTGTGCTCACTTCCTTTGCCCTGGTCTTTTCCAACGTGGTCGCGCCTGTCATCTACACGCTGGGCGTGCTGCAGGTGAGTCACCGATCGCCTGCTAGGGTGTCTGACGACTGCGGGACTGGGGGTCAGCGGACTCTAACACCGTGGCGTAATTTGTAGGTGATCAATTCGTTGATCATGTTGGTGAGCTTCTTGGGCAGTCACATGTCGACCTACCTTGAATCCGAGGCACGAAGCTCTACCCGCGAGGAGGAGGGCGATGATGATGTTGCCCGCGTCCGGGTGGACCGCATGCTGAACGTATGTTGGGCAGATGAATCTGGCACAGAAGGGCGAGGGTGGATGGTTCTTAACGACAGGTGTTGCTGAGGGCGAGTGCTGGCGGCGCCACTCATCATGGGTGTGGTTTTCTTGCGGCGCCTGGAAACATAGGATAAGAGCTTGATCTACCATGTCGGCTATGTCTGCGTCACCATTCTGGGTCTTTGCTGGGACTTTTTGCCGATTGATGATGTGGCCTTTGGCACCTTTTGGTTCAGGTGCGCACCGCTTTAAGATTCTGGTGGTGAAGCGGATCGATCGCGATCGGTGTGCTGGCGTTCTGTCTCACTCGGGCTCTGACGTGTCTTGATGTAGTTTGCTGCTGGTGGACATTGTGTTTTACAACCCGACGCTGCGTACTGTGATTGAGTCTGTGACGAAGAACGGCATGTCCATCTTGTTGACATCGCTGTTTGCGTTGATCTTCGTGTACATGTTTTCAATTCTGGGTTACATGTACTTCCAAGATCATTTTATCATGGATGTGGACGACGAGTGGGGCGAGCAAGACAACGTGCAGCAGCGCGAGCGGGCCTGCGACACGCTTTTTGCTTGTATCATCACGACACTGAACCATGGCTTGCGCAATGGCGGGGGTGTCGGCGATGTGTTGCGGCAGGTCGGCCGTGGCGAAAGCAAGTTTGGGGCGCGCGTGGTGTATGACATGTCCTTCTTCTTCTTCATGATTGTCATCACGCTGAACCTGATTCTCGGTATCATTATTGACACCTTTACGAACATTCGTGAGGATAAGGAGAAAAAGATGGAGCGATTGCGGAACACGTGCTTCATCTGCGGCCTGGAGCGGTCGGAGTTTGATGCCAAGGGTCAATCCTTTGAGATGCATATCAAGCGAGATCATGATTTGTGGTCGTATCTCAACTTTATCGTCCTGTTGCTGACCAAGGATGAGACGGAGTTTACGGGTCCGGAGAGCTATGTTTTTGAGAAGCTGAACCCACGCGACGCTGATTTGAGCTGGTTCCCACGTCTGCAGGCCTTGTCACTGATTTCCTCCGATGCCGAGAACGACGAGCAAGCCATGCTGCGCAACTTGAACAACAAGCTGCTGGAAAACACCAAGACCATGCAATCTCTGCAGGCTCAGCTCAGCAGTCTGCAAAAGAGCGTGGCCAAGAGCCGTCGTCGTCACAAGACGGACCTCATCTCGGGTTAGAGATGGGGGGGGGGGGGGGGGAACCGGGCGGCAATCATGCAGCCCAACGTTCACTTTCATCGCGACGCATGGAAGATGAACAAGCTTTCATGTTAAAGAGCGCAGATATCAAGACAAATTTTCAACCCTTTTTTTTTTCTGCCCGTATGGGTGACCAAGAAGTCGTGGTAATTTCGCCTCCAGGAGGCATCTCGGTCCTCAACCTTTTTTTTTTCTGCTTTGGCTGAGGGTGTGAAGCCAGCAGCTCGGGGACAGAAGAATATCACCACCGCAAACAATCGATTTGATAGTTGAGCCCGTGTCTTGATCCCGCACTCTTTCTCAGCCGCGCTCAGCCGATCACACGAACCCTTTCAACTGTTGCGCTGATAACAAAAAACGCTGACCATCCAAGTCTCCCAGTCTCCCAGTCTCCCTTGCCTTTGCTGGGGGGGGCATTGTTGCAGTGCATTGGTCGCTTTTGGGGATTTGAAATTTGGTGGACAATCGATAAGAGGAAGTTTTTCCTGCGATATTAATACATGAGTTGACATGAGTGTTTTTCATGCACCAGTCTGCTTGCTTGGAAGCAATTGGATGGATCCAAGCCAAAAGGGCAGCGCCGACCAGATATGTTCAACAACTTAGATGCCCGACAGAGAGCCAAGGACGCGTACGCGAGAGAGAGAGAAACAGAAGATAGGGACGCCAAGTGTCAGCTCAAGAAAGAACCAATAGTCTCCAGTCTTAACAATGCCTGTCACCAAAAGCCAAGCGTGTGCTCGTGCTCAACGAGAGGCAAACAAAAGAAGAGAGAAGAGAGAAGAGAGAGAGAGAGAGAGAGAGAAGAGAAGAGAGAAGAGAGTTTGAGATAGCGAAGAGAGAGAGAGAGAGAAAGAGAGAGAGAGAGAGAGAGAGAGAGAAAGAGAGAGAGAGAGAGTTTGAGAGTTTGCAGAGAGAAGAGAGAGAGTTTGAGAGTTTGAGAGAGAGAGAGAGAGAAGCGGCCTGTGCAACAGCACGACAGCAGTTGTAAGACACAGAGTCGAGAGAATTTCTTTGTTGCCCATCGCCTTTTTCACTTCACAGAAAACGACAGTAGAAAGAGACTTATCAAACTTTCACGACATTCAGAGAGACGTTGATGGCAAAGAAATGTGGCAGAGGGACATACAAGGGCAAACCAGAGGCGCACTCGAGATTCAATAGAAACAAGAGAGAGAAGAGCGAGAGAGTGAGAGAGACAGCGCTCAGACGCTTGATCGGATATTTTTTCTTCTTTCTGGATTTTCTTGAATTTCTCTCTCTCTCTTTTGTTGGTCGTCGGGGTCAACTGCCATCTGGTGAGTGAAACGGCAGCGGCGGCGGCGGTGTATCTGGCATCGTCATCAGCTTGGTGCTTTGGCGACGGAGGTTTATGCACAGAATGGGTCGTGTGGTGCTGGACTGCATTTGTGTTGATACGCTTAACATGCTTTAACTCCCCAAACAGCCATGTCCATGCTGCCATTCCATCCCTAACACACACACACGCGCGCGCGCGCGCGCACACACACACACACACGCAGAGTCACGCGCGGAAGAGATGCTCTGTAGTGAGGCGCTTGGTTTCATGGGCGTTGGCACTGCTCGGGCACTGGGCACGAGAGTGCATCATGCTTAAAGTTGACCAAACTTGAATGCTACCTGCGCACCTTGCGATCCGTTTGCGTTTTACACGTGAGACCGCTGCCGTTTTGGCCTTTCCAATGTCGTTGCGCCATGCCTTTTTGTATTTTTCCCCTTGATGGTGATGTTTGGTTTGATGGTCCTTTGGGCTTCCTCTTCCCTCCCCTCCCTGTCTGTATCCTTGCATCAAACATGATCCATGATTCATGATCCATTGACAGTAACGGCGGGACAAGGCACGATCTCAGTGTGCATCTCCCACAACACAACCGCGTCAATGGCTTTTTTTGGTCTCGCCTCTGTCGTGTGGTTGCGTGTATCATTGGCAATCTGTTCTCTTCCATGGGGCGGGGCGGGGGACCAAAGTCCCTCGTTACCCCTTGACCTCTCTGATTCATGTGTTTCAACAGCCCCATGCCTTCCCTGAACAAACATAGTGATTTTGTCTCTCCTAATCTTGACTACAAGTCAGGGCACGCTCACTGCCAAAACGTCGAAGCAACTTTTTTTCTTTTCTTTTTTTTTTAACGCCTGCTATGGATGCCTTCATGATGGCTTTGTGCTTTTGCTCGGCGCTCATAGACGCACTCAAGGTCGGACGCACGTCCTTGCAAGGAACACAGGACCATCAACATGGCAACGGCCACGGAGAATGATGATTTGCCCCAGGGCTGGGAGGAGATCTGGGATCCTACCATGCAAAAGATGTTTTACGTCGACCACAACACGCAGACCACCACCTGGGTTCACCCAAACCACCGTAACATGAGCGACATGCTCCCCGAGGGCTGGGAGCGCGCTTGGGACAATGAATGTGGTGATTACTATATTGGTACGTGCAGCCCTCGCGCGCGTTGTTTGCATGCCTCCTTGCGACCGGCACCGTGATAGCGGCCAATTGCACCCGGGGGAGGTTTTTTGATTCTTTCGAGCCATTTTTTTTAAGTCTGGCTGGCCGCTGCCTTACCTGCCGCTCCCCTATCCTCAAACCCCAGATCACAACACCTGGTCCACCTTCCTGCCGGAAGAGCTCATGGCTCGTTTCCGTGATCGTGAGATGTGCCAGCGCATGCTGGCCATGCATCGCGAGGAAGCTCGCCGCCTGATGGAGCAACTTGATCAGACAATGCTCCGTCTCAAGTCTGCCGATAAGCGCGAGGCCAAGCACCTCAAGCGGCGCGCCGCCGAGCTCCAGCGCAACATCAACCTCAAAATCAAGACCATTCAGGCCTTTGAGGAAGAGATGGATCGCTTCCATGTCGAGGAAGCCACAGCTGGCATCGTGGCCGTGGATAGCGCCAACGTTACCATTCAGAGCACCGTCACTACTCCCAACGGTCGCGCCCCTCCACCTCGACATGAGTTTGGCGCAGCGCAAACATCCAACCACTTCTCCGTTGATCAGGGCACCATGCCCGCCAGCGTCGAAGCACAGGGTGCAGGCGTTGGCATGGCCACTTTTGGAGCGGACCACAAGGTTGCTACCGTTGACGAGGGCACCAACCCGGACGAAGGTGCTACCCTGACAGCTTCAGGTGGTGGTAGCGGTGCCGGCATGCGTGGAACCAGCGTTCACGGTAGCAATGCCATTCCTGCTAATACCGACGCCTCTGGTTCTGGCTCAGGCTCAGCAACCATGGAAGATTCCGCCACCTTTACCACCTTTGGCGTGGCCACAACCTCGGCCTCGGGTGGCCCCGCGAGCGAGGCTGGAGCCGCCTCCGGAAATGGCGGGGCCGACATGGACATTGGCGAGCCCGTGACCCCGCAAAAGGCCACCAACAAGCACCTCAAACTTGCCGAGAGCCAGCAAATTCCTGACACCCCAGAAATCAACAACAAGATCGATCTGCAGGACATTGAGGATTGGGACTATTTGCACAAGGCCTTGAAGAACAACGAGTCCCTCTCCGACTGGGTCCTGCAGCAACCCCCCCATGTGCAACGCATCTTTGAACATCGCCAAGATGCCACCCAGGTCGTGCTGGCTCGTCGCCTGATCAAGTTGAAGGAATTGCAGGAGGAACAAACTCGCCTGCATCGCCCCTCTAGCGTCCGCTACAACATGAAGCACAAGATCAACGCCTTCAACGAACTGAGCTCTCCCAAAAAGGGCCCGACTGTGTCGCACGCGTAGCGTGCCCATGTCTCTTTGCTTGTGGATATGTGTATACGTGAGCATTTGTTTGTGCCCATCACCCAATATGTGTGCTTCCATTAAGAAGCGTATGCATGTGCGGGTGCCGCACGCGGCGTCCTCCTGTTTCCTGTGTGTACCCGTCACGTTTGATGAGCCTTCCGAAAAGCCGTCCGTCTTTTGTTTTCTTCTTCTCTCCTTCTCCCGCTCTCTCTATTTGGTCTATTTCTGTGTTCATTTCTCTATTATTGCATCGATCACGCGATTTTGTTCTGTTTCGTGACACTTGGCTCTGCCACCACCATCCTACAAGGCACTTCAGGTTCATGCCAGTTAAAATCCTGCTCCCATTCGTGCCATGTCGGTGATGATGCCACAAACGTCCCCATCACACCTACTCAGGGTGACGTGTCCGTTCTTTGACTGAAGGGCGTCCACCTCAACCGTTCGGGAACTGCCAAGGGCCATTGTGACAACGGTCAAGTGAGCACAACGAGAGCACAGGATATAGGCACATCGGCAGATCCCTGGTTGCTGTCCATACGGCTTCCTCCCCTGTCTCTGGCTTTGAGGTCTTCTCGTTGCCTGTCAGAGACACGCGGAGCCGTGCGCTTACAGATGGGTCGACGTGCCGTTTTGGCCGACAATTCTGCGCCTAGTGCTTGACGGTCCACCACTAGCTTTACCGAGTCGTCTATCCTTTTTATGTATCCATGTTTGGCCATAGTTGACGTGATATCCGCCATTGTCATGCCGGTCTTTCTACTCACATCTGATAACAAGCATTGACACGACCATGAAATAACATGACACGGGGAACCAGGCCCTTTGTGAATTGGGCATGCGAAAGATACCGACCATCGAGGGACACCTCATTGTGGCTGACCAAGTACTCTTGAAGAACACGCAACCAGTAAGCTTCATAGGTGCGCGCACCTGAAGAGGAAAGGGGCGATGAATGAGTCAGTATGCGCGCCCGACAATGAGCCAAAAGGAAAGCAGGGAAAGCGCAACGACATACCAAGCCAAGAAAGTGGTTTCTCGGGACTACCAACGGTGTGCTCCACCCGCGTGAGCAAGTAGCCTAGCGGCAATGGGCGAGTGAGTACACGGAGGCTTGAGCAACACCATTCAAAGTCATTGAGGTGACGGTGCGTGCAGTCCCAACGCACTCATATCGATAAGGTATCGGCCATAGCCCATGCGTTGAAAGCAGGGCAGGGTGAGGATGCACGAAACATTGTATTTTTTGAGGCAATGCTTCTCCTGCAGAGCCCAGGCAGAAGGGGAGGGCACGGGGTGGAGCAAGTCCGGGTGGTTAGGCTGTCGCTGCGGCGGCGCAGCCCGGTTCTGTATGGATGCAGATCACAGAACTATGACCGATCAAACCTTGGAGAAGTAGCCCAAAAAGTGGCACCCTCGTTCATCAGCCACTGTTGTGAAGGAGGAGAGGGGCGAGGCGGGGAGAAGAGTGAGATGAGCCGATGTATCAATGCGCGTGGGTCTTCGAGGCAATTGTTGGCAGCAAAAAGTCCGGGTTTCACGCGAAGCGAGCTTCATGGACCTGTGAGAATGTAGAATAAGAACGGCTCTACGTCGTAGTACAGAGTTTTGTGCTCGAGAAAGAGCTTGGCCAGCAAGCACACATTTTGGCAATACAACTGCAGAGCATGTCGGCGATGAGCGGGCCCAAAGGGGTTGAATCGGGTCAAAAACCGAAAAACCAAAAAAACCAAAAACAAACAAGCAAGAAACTACTTACCTTGGCGGCGTGTCCGTCAACCTCCCAAAGCTGGAGCTGCGCGAGCCGTTGACCCCGTGCGTCGTAGCGCTCAGGTTCGCGATAGATTTCAGTGCCCGGCGGATGACCTGCGAAAGATACCGGCGTTATTCGAAAGCTTGGTTCATGGAGTGGGGCAGGAAAAGGCCAGAGGCATGTTCGAGTAGGGGCGGTAGGTTGCTTACCCAGGCATTCACACTTGTCCATGTGACGCCCCACTTGTTCACGAGCAGGAAAGTAGCGGAGGCAGTATTCACACAAGTAGATGTCTGAAAGTGTGGCATATTCCTACAGTGGGAATTTCAAGGATGTTATTGAAATGATCAGGGAAACAACTGGGGGCGATGGGGTGAGCAGATGCTCGTACATGGGGGTAGGCGCCGGGGTACCACGCCTTGATACGGTGGTCACCTATCTCGACAGATAATCGACCCATGGTCTATCAAGACAGGCAAGTGTCAGTCGGCCAAGCTGTTCCCGGTGAATCTTTGACGCATGAATGTGTTCGGACCCAGCTGGCTCAAGTATTTTGGCGCACCGATAGAGGAGTACGGTTTAGGACGGCTTGTGCTTGGCTAAAAGCACGCTGGAAAAGATTGGCTTCAGCCTTGGGAACATCTAGCCCACGCAGTGGATTTAAGCGCGCTCGCGACTTGTGCTTGGTTTTCTTACGCCGATTCTCCGCGGCTGCGCAAGGTATTTGATGCAGTGAGTGGCGGGCATGTGGTTTGTGTGTGTGTGTGTGTGTGTGTGTATCGGTGCTGAGGAAGGGCATCGCGTTCTAGGTCGATGATGCGCCTTACAGGCAGTGGCGGAGGAAGGCTCGTCGTGGGCCGTTGCATGGCCCGGCGTGCCGCGGCCTCGATCCGTGGCACGAGTGCGACTCTGAGCCCGGCCTCGACCCCGCCCACGAGTCTAGGTAGCAGGTTGTGGAGTGATCAATAGATGAGTGTCAAGAGACATTCTGGCCAGGGTTGGGAGGTGCTGCGGCCAGAAGCTTCGTACAGAAGTGCGTGTTGGGGTGCGGCCCGTGCTAGGAGGTGAAGGCGTGCTGGGATTTGTCGGTTTGGGACTCAGCCAGGTATGGATAGTGCTCCCTCTCTTGTCTCTGGCCTGGGTGGGCTGCGAGGATTCTTGGGCACCGGATTGGCGCTTGCTTGTACGGCCAGGCTTTGCTTGTTCTGACTTGTCCGTGCTGGCCGAGGGTGCACCTGCTTGGGCAAACGCCATAAAAAGGGGTGATGGTTGAGCAAAGTCAGAGCTGCCTGATGACAAGCGTGACACGGGCCGGCAAGCGATCGACTTTGGACGGAGGCAGGTCTCAAGAAGAGGTGGGAGAGCACACTGAGGTTGTGAACAACGGGGCCAGCGTGCCCAGCTGCCTGTGTGCGCTTGTGCGGCATGCACATGGGTGTCCGGACCTTGGCAGTTGGGACAATAAAAGTCACTATCGGGGACGCCATTGAGCTTGGGTCGGCAGCAGTAGGTGTGGATGGCTGCATCGCAGCCGTCGCAGAACAGGAGCTGATCGGCATTGCCTTTCTTATGGCAACGCATGCAGGTCTTGCAGCGAATACACTTCCAGGCCTATACATATGAAGACAAACGGGACCCAAAAACGTGCTTGAGGCGACGATTCGGATCCCCAAGGGTGTGTGCGGCAATGGCTGACAAGTACGGGTAAGCCTCGCACCGGTTGACGGCGGACATTGGCAACGAGCTCTGGAGTAAACTGAAGACACTTGCTATGAGCTGGGGGAGCAGAAGACGAAGGCGAGGACGATGAGGAAGAAGCCAAGGGCGAGCGTGAAGAGCAAGGACAAGGCTGCGGACATTCAGTTGCTCTCACAAGCCCATGTCGTCTCACACACGAGCGGGCGAGCTACCCACCTGAAGAGCCGCATTGCGAGCAGGTAAAGAAGGGTAGATGACCAGGCGGCTGACAGCAGTAGGCACAGATGCTACTCAGTGCCGCGCGCAAGGCGCCATCATCTGGTTGCTCGGCCATGGCTACACGCCAGATCGGCTGGATTAAATCGCGGTTGCTCGCCGGGCCAAGCATGCACGTCGATTCAGGACGTTGGTCTCATGGTGTGAGGAGCAAAGTCTCATGCTTTAGACCTCAGACCCCTATCTAGGGCAGTGCTTGCTGACACGCACGCATTTGCGGCACCGTCCCGAGCGAGAGATCGAAAGCGCAAACCCGGGCGATCGGTTTCCGGGGGTTGTAACGGTCACAAAAGAGAGAGAGAGAGAGAGAGAGAGAGAGAGAGAGAGAGAGAGAGAGAGAGAGAGAGAGAGAGAGAGAGAGAGAGAGAGAGATGAATTGGTTTGGTCGGTTTGAGAAAGAGAAATAAAGGGAGAGAGAGAGAGAGAGAGAGAGAGAGAGAGAGAGAGAGACAGAGAGAGGAATGGAGGAATGAATTAGAAGACACAAAGGAAGAGCACAGCTACCACATGTAACAACAGGGAACAAAAGAAAAAAACAACAAAGTGCAGCACACAATGCGAAAGTCAAATCAAATGGTGCGGAGCAGCTTTGACCAGCGCAACAGCATGCATGGATCAATCAAACAAATGGTCGATCTCGTACGCACACGGAACAGTCTGATTAGATTCGATCAAGAATTTAATCGTGCCAGACACCGGGTCCGGTGAGGTGAAAGTAACCTTGACGCCATCAGTAGTCATGTTATCAAACTGGATGGGCATATTGTTAAGGAGAAAGCTGACTTTGACAAACGGCATGATGCAGCTGACAACGTCATCGATCGGAGAGAGATAAACCTCGTACACACCAGACTCTGGCAAAGTGTATTCAAACATGTCCGTCTCAGCATCGCAGAGCGTCAGGTTCAATGGAGGCGGGTTTGTCGTCAGCACAATTGGGGAAGTGCCGGAGTAGGCGTCCGGTTCACAGCCGTCCCCAAAGGCCACAGCTTCCAGCTGTGGTATCATACGCAAAAGGCATGCAGAGGTCAGAGCACCACGGCTGTCGTCCGTCTGCCCCCTCCAACAAAAAAAGAAAGGAGAACCAGTAATTGGGAGCAGCACCCCGCATGCACACACACGCACGGCACTTACCGCGGCCAGACGAGTCTCAAAGGTGGCGTTGATGAGCGTGTCAACCGTTTCAATCAGCTTTGCTTTGCGGCAGGCAGCAATTTGCTCGTTGGGCGAGAAGAGCGAGGCATTGGTGCATTGGCACTTCAGGTTGTTGATGGTCGTAGTTGTGAGCGTGGTCACGATGTCCATGACCGCCGGCTGCAAACCAGCAAGAAGCACAACCATCACGGCCACAGCGGCCATCCTTCGCTGACCCATCACCCTGTTTAGCAGAAGACGGCAGTGTTGTTCCAAGAACAGGTGTGACAACTACATGTATCACAATGTGAATGAGCAAAAGCATACATTTCAAAGCATAAAGTAGTCACATGTAGTAGTGATGTGAAAGATGTGGTGAAGTTTGGTTGTTGTCTAGCATCCCGAGGTGTGTCACGACCAAAACTTTGATATCTTTCGTCTTTCGCGTACATCAATTCGATTCGGCGCAATTCAAAAACATGTGGCGCAGCAAATAACATGTAATGTCATGACACTTCGCCTTGCGACGCCTGGCTTGCTTGATCTTGTTCATCGAACGTGGCAGCCAGTTGTTGTGCGAGTCGCGAAGGCCTCCCTCTGCATTCATCTGCTGGCCCAGCATTTGGTTGTCCGATGGCTGCTGCCACGCCACGCCAGGAGGGAATACCGTGACAGCAGCAAAAGTTGCCACGGTCTGTCTTGGCAGCCGATCCTGGCTCCGCGAATCGACGCAAGTTTGGAAGCCGTTTTGCGAAACCTGTCCCAGCGGCGTACAAATAGTGAGGCGTTTCCAGCATCGCGCGCAAAACGAGGCGTCGACGCGGAATGCTCCACGACAAGTTGGAGTTTGGATGTAGGTACCCCCACCTTTGGCCTCTGACGACGTGGCTCATTCTGCGTTGTTGGAGCCAACGGCGCTGCATTGGGCGTGGCTTCTGCTTCATGACGTCGTGTCGTCCTCCGAGTCCCCGGCCACGCAACATCATCTCATGGTGGTGCAAGGGTGCATGCCTCATACAGCTGTGCTGCGTGTCAGTTCATGGATGAATAGAATGGCCTTTGCATGAGCTGCTGGCACTGGCGCCTTACGGCCACATCTGTTAGCTGTTTGATGACGGAAACCTCATCGATCGTGAATGACACGAAGCATTTGTCATGCCCATTGACCAATTTTAATATCCCGGGTTCAAGATCAGGGTATCGTGTCAGGCTCCAGCACGTCTGGAGGCCGGTTTTGGGTTGCGAGGAAGCGCGTAGGTTTGAGGAAGCGTTTTTAGAGAGGGTTGAGAGACGTCCGTCGGGACGGAGCGAAAGCTGTGTTGGTGTCTTGAGGTCAATTAAAACAGCTGCGGTCGGCAAGCATTCACAGTGACCAGACCAGGTGCACCGTTAGAATGTCTGTAGAGCCGCTCAATCCCAAGGATGGGGAAAGTGCAACTCATGCCCAACCGCAGGTGTCACAACAAAGAGAAACAACAATAGTGACAAGCTTATCGCCCCAAGGCATGTGCCGGTCGAAGTGGAGGTGTGTATGTGTGAGGTCACAGCAGCTATGGGGGTTCCAGTGGAAATGCCCATAGAGACCGACACTGAGTGTGCTCAAGCAGTGGGAGTGCTCAAATGTGGAAGCACGGATTTACGCTCACACATCGTCATTTTGGCCAAATTGAGATATGGGCCGTTGTTGGTGTTTCCTGGGGTGGATGGGCCAGAAAACGAATTTGAACGCCCGGCGTCTTCCGAGCCTCCTGCTCAAAAACCCGAGCTCAATAGCTGCACTATAAAGCAGTTTCGATTAGGGTGGGTACGCACGCTCAGGCAGACCCATACTTGCAGAAGGCTTCTGCCTGCCCAGGCGCTTGGAGGTATGGTCCGATTTTCATTGCCAATTAAGCTGCACGCGACTGGGTTCTCGTAGGCCTGCGGCAACCAGCATTGTGCTCCCACAAGCCAGCACCTTCCGTTCCTTTTGCATGCGGCAGCCAACACACCGCGCTAGGGCACGGTCTGGCCAGCTCGTTTGCCAGTAATATTATTGTGACGATACACTCATCTTTATTGAACCACAGCTTCTGTCTGTGGGTCAATGCACAAAGCTCACAGAGGAAATAGAAGCGGGAAGGTAAGTGCCACTTCCAAAGAGAGACAGGGGGGGAATTGGTTTGAAAGGCATAAAAAGCAAAGACACAGAACTACCACATGTAGAGAGAGATGAATTGAGAGAGAGAGAATTTAGTAGAGAAAGAGAAAGGCTGTTTAAAGACACAGAGGAATAATAAACTACCACATGTAACAACAGGAAACCAAAGAAACTATTGTTCACACCGACGCTTTTCGGATGCATGCACGAATGCATTCTTTGAGCGGCGCGGATGGGGTTGATGTCCGCGGTCATGTGGTGAACAAGAGGATTCGAGTCGGGGCTCACAGCCGGTCAGGCAGAGGAGGCTCCGAAAGCGAGCTTCATAGAGGAGGAAAGAATGCTTGCTGCTGCTCTTTTTCTCTCTTGACGTTGAGACCCACAACAAAGCAAGACCAAGCAGCACTGAGCACCAAACCAAGCCATCGAGGTGAGAGCGCGGTGAACTTGGTGGCTGGGTTGTGTTCAAGAGCATTTGGCACAGCCTCGCTTGCCTGGACACACCGACAGCAGAGCTCACACACATCTGCCGTGGCCTTTTTCCCTTGGTATCTGCGTGCAGAAGCTAAAAGAGTTGCCTCTTGTTCCAGCAAGGCCAACAAGACCGGTCTGGGTGTCACTTGCAGGCCGCTCAGGGCCAGCGCATGGAACGGCGCGTCCTCCACCATGTTGCGAACTTCAATGAACAAGCGACGAACGTCGCAAACCGCGTTGGACGGCGGTCGCGGTGAGAAGGTCGCCACTTTCGAAGCCAAGTTCCATGGCCAGCTCCCCGTCAGCCGACCTCAAGGCAATGATGTGGTCATGCATGCCGTCTCCAAAATCCATGAACTCAAGGTGAGGTCTCACACACAGCCTGCTCGGCAAGAGCCAGCGTCGCGGTTCCGAACACCCTGCGGCCCCCATTTGTTCTTCTCGATCTCCCGTGCCTGACCCAGCTCATGATGTGCCTCTGGCCGATTTTCCCATCCCCAGCAACGAGCCATACCCGTTCAGATCATGCTCACCACCAAAGGCGTGTACGTGGACCAGAAGGACGACAACTCGCTCATGTGCAAGGTGCGTGTGGCATCACCTGGTGTACAAGTTTTGGGCTCTCACCGGCCGTATTTCATGAGCCCTCTGTCGCCGGTGCTGCTTGATGCTACCTTAGGTGCCCGTGGCCCAGCTGTCATGGGTGTGCACAGATCCCCGCAACAAGCATCTATTCTCTTTTTTGGTCCACGAGCCCCGTCTTCACACCGTCGAGTGCTACACTTTCTCGTCCAAGAAGAATGTACGTTTGACGCACGGCGCCTCATGAAAGCTCTTGAGGAAACTGGCTTGCCTCGCCCTACCTGGAAGCAATGCGGACGCCAGTAGCTACGTCGTCACGCCACGCCTTTTCTTTGGCTCATGGGGCATTTTGGGGATCACACAGGGCAAGGTGTTTGTCACAGCGTGCAACAAGCTCATTGCTGATTTGATCGCCGATGGCTCGCGTGCCGAGGCTGAGCTGAAAATGATCGAGTCGGCCGTGCCCATCATGCCTGTGCAGGCGGAGCGCGACGTCGAAGAGGTCAGGGACCGTCCGATCCCCATATAGCCAGCATCTGGTCACCCGGCATTCGTCATCGTGGCGTGTCGTGGCCTTGCTGCTTGGTAAAAGACTCCTGGCTGCCCCCGAAACACTCACTTTGTGCCCCTTGCTCCGCGCCTCTGGGCATCTGACTTCAGGACTATGACGACTCGGGTCGTCTGATTCGTCGCAGTCACCGCCGTCATTCCCACATGGATGACTTGGGCGTGGAAGAACTGCCACTGCAATCGTACATCGATCCACGTGCGTCAAGGTCCAGTGCCGCTATTGCTCGCCGAGACAGCACTCGGTCCCCTCATTACGCTTGCGCCCTGTACTGATCGATTGTGTTCAGAGCCCTGGGTTTCCGACGAATACATCAAGTCCAGCCTTGGCTGCTTTAAGGCCATTTACAAGGGCGGCATTCCCGTCAAGGAGATTGAAGGGTTTCACACCGTCCAACAAGCAGCATTGCGCGTCAAGGACTTTGGTCTACCGCCCAAAGAAGTGACGCTGGTTGTCACGCAGGCCCAGCTCATTCTGGTGGAGCGGGACACGGGCGATCACATGCACGAAATCAACATGCTTCACGTCTCATACAGTCTGGTTGATCCGCGCGATCATTCTCACTTTTACTGGATCGTGAACGATCCTCGCATGGGGTTTGCCTACTGCCACATCGTGCAACTCTTGGGCAACGCTGAAATGCTGCCCACGTGTATGGCCGCGGCGCAGCGGGCTGTGGCTCGTCATCGTCGCGAGCTGGCCAGCCAAGATGCCATTGCCGCCGCGGCTACCCACGGCAAGCGTGGCAAGAAGACGGCCAAAACGCCCCCTCTGGGCGTGTACGAGGTCAAATATCTGGGTGGAGTGCGCTGCGACGGTACGCCTGTGGGACTGGGTCGCTAGAGTGCACCGGGCCCCTGCCGCTGGCCAGCGATGGCAGCGGCCTAATGCAGCAGCGATCTATGCTCTGCATGTCCGCCTCGCTCGATGATTCTGTCTTGTTTTGCCCCTCATGCGGAGCGCTGCATTGTGCGTACAGGGGCGGGCAACGAGGTGGTGAGGAAGGCCTTGGGTGACTTGCGCCAGCAATTTCAGCAAATGTTGCAGTTGGGAGACGTTCAAGACTGGACCCAGGCCGGCGATCGCGTCGTTCTGGTCATGACTGCCGATGGCATTCGGTATGCACAGCACCCATCATTGGTTCATCCGATCCCATGCTTCATCATTGTGATTTGTTTGAAGGCAGGGGTGTGGGGTAGCGCAAGACAGCGCGGGCTTTTCAATGCACGTGTCGATTGGCATATCAGGCAATCGCACGAGGCTGATAATCGCTCTTTGTGGAATCCACCCTGCATAGGGTCGTTGATCTCATGTCGGGGGAGGTGCTCTTCTTTGTTTACATTCGCGACGTGGCCTTTTCAACACATCTGCATTCAGGCGTCGATCGCAAGAACGTACGGCCCCAAGTTTGGCGTATTCATGCTGGCGGATGTCCGATAATTTGCATGGGCGTTGAGATGACTGGTCACTGTGGTTGGGCTTGGCATTGTGTGCTTTGTAGAATCCCGAACACGACGTGTTTGGCTTTGTCGCACAAGACGAGAAGCTCAATCGTCACGTTTGCCATCTCTTCAAGGTCAGTGTCCACGCGTCCGGCTTGGGGCGGAATATGCTCTCTTGGGGGGGGGTGGGGGGTCTGTATCAAAGTTGTGGCCGGCTCATGTGCCCATGTGTGCTTTGCCCGCTGCTCGTGCCGTATCGCCTCGCCTGCAGTGTCCGCCAGGAATGGCCCGTGACATTTGCCGCACGGCGGCGTTTGCCTTTAAGATGTGCATTGAGGAAATGCAGCGCACAGAGCAGGAGAATCCCTTTCAAGCGTCGTCCAAGACCGACATGGACTTGTCCTCCCTCTTTCCCGACCACCTCATTATCTCGCGTCGGGACATCAAGGCCATCAAGGTCTTGGGGTCGGGCCAGTTTGGTACCGTGTGGTTGGCGTTGCAGCGAATGCGCGACTCAAGCAGCAGCAAGGCCGTGAAACACCGGGCCGTCAAGTTGCTGCGACCAAATGCCTCAGAGCAGGATCAGGAAGACTTTTTGCGCGAAGCCATCACCATGTCTCGCATCTCACACCCAAACCTGGTGCGCTTGGTGGGGGTGTCTGTCAACCACGTGCCATGGCTGGTGGTCTTGGAGTTTATGCGCTACGGCGATTTGCGCAACCTATTGATTGCGTGCTCGGAAAAGAAGATTGAGGTGACTTTGGCGGAGCAGTTGCAGTTTATGCAATCGGTCTGCTCAGGCATGGCCTATTTGGCGTCGAAGCGCTTGGTCCACATGGATTTGGCGTGCCGCAACTGTCTGGTGGGCAGCAACAGCCAATTGAAGATTGGCGACTTTGGTTTGACCCGCCCCTTTGACGAGGGCAAGAACTACTACAAGCTCGAGCCCAACAGTTCGGTCAAACTACCCGCCAAGTGGCTGTCGGTGGAGGCCCTCTCCACCATGACCTTTAGCGAGAAGTCGGATGTGTGGGCTGCCGGAGTCGTCTTTTGGGAGATTGTCACCTATGGGTCTCAGCCTTACCCACAATTCCGCAACAAGGAGATGCGGCGCAAGCTCAAGGAGGGTTATCGACTGGAGCAGCCCACCGATTTTGCCTGCCCCACAGATTTGTATGAGCTCATGACGCTGGCTTGGGAAGCAGATCCCGACCGCCGCATTTGCTTTGCCGATCTCGGCATCAAGGTGGGTTGGCTTTTGGGGGGCGCTCGTGTTGGGAGTCGGGCCGCACCATGCCCATCACACCTCTCTCATCTGATAGCGATGGTAGCCAGGTTTAGCCCATGCTTGCATGTGTGGCTTCGTATTCACGCATTTGCTGGGGTGCCGTAGGTACAAGCTTTGCTCAAGGCAGAGCTGGCCAGAAATCGCAACAAGCTGCGCGACATTGGGCTGGTGGTGAATGGTGGCGTGGAGAAGGAGCTGCCGATGCAGCGAGAGACCTTTGTGGAGCTCTACTCGCAGTTCACGTCTGGCACTGCGAACCAGGGCCAGTACTTTCAGGCGTACGGCTCGGCCACCGAGGCCAAGGACGACTATGTGGACGTGGATGGGGCTGGCCCCGATCCACAGCGCACAGACCTGTACCTCGATGTTGAGGCCCAAGGCAAGCCGGCTGAAGACGACAGTTACATTGAGCTCGCTGTGCCCGAGGACGAGCAGGAGGGCAGTTACATGCAAATTGAACAGGAGCTTCGCGGAGACACTCTGGGCGACGTTAGCCGGAGCAATCCTCTCTTTGCCCTCATCGAAGGTACGCACGGCAAGCCCTGGCGGTGTGGTTGGCATCAAGGCCATGTTGCGTTGCTCGATCCATGCCGCCCTCACTTTTATGCTGGCACCATCTATGGAAATGAATGCGTGTGGAGTAGACGAATACATTGATGCAGTCGCGGAGGAGGGTGAGGACGACGGGACGGGCGTGGGCGCGTCTTACTTGGCAGTGGCCGAAGCGCATGGCCTGATGACCGAAGAGGCTTGCGGCGATGTGGTCGACTCTTCTCACATGCAAGGCGATGATGGCGTGGCGGCCGCACTCCGAGCCCTCAACTTGGGTCGGCCATCGTAACCCCGTTTTGACGGTCGTCTTCCTTGGCGCTTGCTGTTGTTGTTGTTGTCGTTTTGTCTCTTATTCTTAACATGCATGCACGTAAGTGAAATAACAAACGAATCTGCTTAGCTTGTTGGTTGTAAAAATAAAAAAAAACACGAGTATACGAGCATACAAAATTTTTTCATCTTCATCGAAATCAATTTTCATCCTCGGGATGCGAAAGGAAACGGTGGAGGGCAGTTGGTGTGTGAATACGAGTTGAAATTGTGACGAGACGACCTTGTGATCGTCGTGTGTCCCAAACCTCAAGAAAGGAGAAGAAGCACACACCCATGGGAGGCAAAGGGGGAGGTTGGATCATAAAAGCAAAAAAGCAAAACAAAAAAAAAGGATTATCATGCCAGCTCGAAAGAGTACACACTCACACTCTTACGAGACAAAAAGGAAAAAAAGAAAGCAACAAATAAGGCGGTAAGTCTGTTCAACCCATCCGAAAGGAGGGGCAACAACAAGGTTGCTGTATGCACAGGAATCAGGGGAACGCGTGATGCACCTTGCTCCCGCCAACAATATGAAGCGAGAAACCGTGCACAAGAGGAGGTGACAAAAACAGCAAGACAAAAGGGAGATCAGAGCAGGATTTACTCGCGGTGGGTGGCAACTTGATCCGCGAGTTCATCCTTGATGTCGTTCATAGACTCGGTGACCTGCTGAAGGTTCTCGACCAGCTCTTCAGGGAGCTCCAGACTCGCGTTGTAGTGGAAGCGGCCGGGGCCGACGCAAGAGTCGAGGCCACCAAGCTCACGGGAGCGACGGTAGGCTGCCCAGATGGCATCCGACATGACAGTACGGAGACCTCCACGCTCAATCTCGTAGAGGGCGGCAGCGGTGGTACCACCGGGCGAGGTGATGTCGTTGCGAAGGGTGCTGGGATGAGCGCCACCACTTTGGAGGGTGAGGTTGACGGCACCGCGCATGGTGTTGAGAACCATGTCGCGGGCTGTTTCACGTGGCACACCCATGTGGACACCGGTGTCAATCATGGCCTCAAGCATCAAGTGGCACATGGCGGGGCCTGAGCCGGCCAGGGCGGTGGCCATGTCCATCTTCTCCTCCTCGGCCAGGTAGATTTCCTTGCCAAAGGTCTTGAGAAGTTCACGGGCTTGGAGGCGCTGGGCCTGGGTCACGGTAGGGGAGACGGTCCAGCAGGTGACAGATTCTTGGATGAGGGCGGGGGTGTTGGGCATGGCACGAATGACGGCGTCGGTGCCCAGGCCGCGCTGAATCTGGTCAATGGTGTAGCCAGCCACCACACTGATGATGAGCGTGTTCTTGTTGACCTTGCCCTGAAGCTGTTGGAAGAGGCGAGACATGGTTTGGGGCTTGACGGCCAGCATGACAATGTCGGCACCTTCCAGGGCAGCCGCGTTGTCGTTGGTGACGGCCACCTCGTACTTGTCCTTGAGTTCGGAACGACGAGACTGGTTGGGGTCGCAGGCCATGACGCGATCCGAGGTCACGCGACCCGAGCGGAGGACACCGCTCATGATGGCCTCGGCCATCTTGCCGGCACCAATGAACGAGACGCGGGTGTCGCCCAGGATGGAGGCAGCCGGGGGTTGCTCCTGCTCAGAGGGCTGGGGCACGGCCGCGAAGGCACGTGTTTGTTGCCTGCCAGCGCTGGTGGCGGCGCGAGCAGCGGTCAGACCATAGGCCTGGGGCGAGTAAGCAGCGGCCAGGACGCTGTTGCACTTCATGGTGCGAGTAATGCGGTTGGTGCGCAAGGCCTGCAGGGATTGGCCGGCGGAGCGGGCATTCAGGCCCCAACGCAACCTCGGGGGCACGTTCTTGTTGAGAAGGGCCTATTGTTGCAGCGAAGATCAAGCACGAGTGAGTGCGGGCGTTGTTTGAGTGAATGGGACTGCAGGTCGAGGGGTGTCGGGCAAAGTCCAACCACGTACCGCATTGGCCGTCTTGTACGACTTGAGCGGCGTCTTTGTAATCTTGGGCTTGCATATCTACATGCGGAAGGAAGCACAAGACGTGAGTGAGAGGCAAGCCACTGGAAGAAAGAGGGAGGGGGGAATAATAAAAAAAAACAGATCATTCGGCGGAGGGAGTCTTGAACGTACTTGGTTGATGTGGGTGGCGTTGGTACCCAGCACCATGTGCTGGCAGCGCTTCATGGCCATGCCGGACGACATTGTGGCGGTTTGTTAGCGTCGAGCTCGAACGAAATGGGAAAAAAAAAAATGCACACAAGTTGCGACCAGTCGTCACGACTTCCGAGTCAGATTCACCCAGACTGTATCAAAATGGCAGTCTAGGGTTACAGCTAGCTGCCAGTCACTCAATCAGACAGTGACCAACGGAAAGGCGAGCCGGGAGTAAAAAAAAAATACTCGCAGCAGTAGCCAAGGTTCATAAGAAAAATGCCGCTCCACCCAAGCGCGCGTCCAGTTCAGGTGGAAGGAAGACTCAGAGAGAGAAGGAGAGAGCAGAGAGAGAGCAGAGAGAGCAGAGAGCAGAGAGCAGAGAGCAGTGGTTAGCCGTATGTGTGTGTGTGTGTGTGTGGGAAAACTGTGCGGGACCATATGGCGTGTGTGTGTGTGTGAGTGTGTGGGATCTGATCTGCCACGTCAAGCTCAAATGCTATTTGGGCACAGCATTTGAGCTGGCTGCCGTTTTGTGGTGGTGATTGAAGGAAAAAAAACCCATTGGTCTAAAGGAGTAGTAGTGTGTGTACTTGACTTGGCTCTAGTTGAAGAAAGCAGCCAAGGTTTGAAGAAGACAAAAGACATGTCCAAAGTGGAAAGACGAAGAACACGTCGAGCAATCAAATTTGTTAATGAGGGTGTGGGAAGTTTCCAGCTTGTTCCCTTGGTTCGGGGGTTGAACGTGTGATGGACCTCGCTTCTCGGCAATGCTGTCACACGTGTTTTGGCGGGAACGATTTGTCGACAAATCCAGCGAACGAGGGGGCAAGTTTGGGGAGTTGGTAGAGTTGAAGCTTGGCTTGCCCTTGTCACCCCAAGGAACACATGTAACCGGCGGTTTTCAGCCGCAGAAAATCATGTCGCATCACGGATCAAAAGCAGGGTCGCGAATTTGTCCCCACGATACGGCCGAAGAATGGGGTCTTGGAAGTTTGAGTAAAGTATGATAATAACACACTTTGGATGACCGTAGAGTGTGATCATGGGTACAATTTGGGATCGAATTTGGCGGAATTGCCGCGCTTTCTGCGGTCGAGTGCCCTTAGACGCTTCTGGAGTGATCTGGCGTGTCTACTCATAGTCACCTAGAGTCATCTGTACTCATCTAGCATCATCAAGCGTCCTCATTCCAGTGTGGTTTCCAGTGTGGTGACTCCATTCTTCCATTCCCCCAGCCCTCCCACATCCACTCACAAAATCCCTGTATTCCCTCCCCACACTATTACCACACGCTCTCCAGCATATCAGCATGGATTCCACCACACCCATCGTACGATTTCCATCATCTAACATTCTCCCCACCACCCCCAGCAACTGCCTTGCTCACGAGCCGTCAAAGACTCAAGAACCAACGACCGTTGCACCCGCGTCCGGACCGCTTTCCCACGCTGCGACCCGGTTGACCCAGCTTGTTTCAGGGACCAGAAAAGGTGACGTCGTTACACCCCCACGCCCCCGCCTCTGGCTTGCCGTCTTTGCGTCAGAATGTTATCGCGCGCGCGCGCGCGCGGTGGCGCAGTGTCCCCAAAAGAGTTCCCAGAGCTCCAAAATTGTCAGTCATGTTGGCCCGCTTGGTCTCTTTCTGTCCAGCCGCAGAAGAAAGATGAGAAAAGCCCTGAAGATTAATGGGTTGCCATCCTCCCTGTCGCTCACTCTGAAATCGACGCGGCGCCGTCTCGCCATCGGTAGCAAGCGCCACTTTGAGTCGAATTCAACAGCATGAACTTACTTGTTCGACAGGGTCGCACTCGTAAGCATCCGCGGCAACTCAGTCACAGCGCGCGCTACGCCTCCCACTGCTACGCCTCCCACTGCATCGCCGGATCAGTGAGCTCGTCTTCTTTGCCACTCACTCCTCACAACCCCAAGAGGGGCAATCCATAGCAAACCGACGATGTTCTTGCAGGGTAAATGCTGACAATGTCAGAGAAGATCCCTATCATACTTGTCATGGCTTAAGCTATCTGACAAGTTCCATGTCCCAACAGGAGGACACAACACCTGTTGTGAACAATTAGCCGCTCGCTCACTTTTTTTTTTCTCTCGCTGAGATGTCGGACGGTACGTGAATGGCAGCCAGTGGCTCGGGTGCAGTGCGTACCCGGGCTCCCGTGCGTCGTGCGTATCAACGTTCTTTAGAATGGGCCACAATGTAGCAGGGTTGAGGCTGCTGATGACCAGAGGGACATGATAGCTGCTCCTTGTTGGGGTTGAATGTTGTATGAAGGCACTCGCGTGCTTCTCCCTCATCTCATCCTCTTGTCTGCGTCGCTCGCTCATCCGTTGCCCGCTCATCCAGCACCAGAGGGCCCGCCACCACCGCCGCCACCGCGTTCCGAGCGGAGGTAAGCACCGATCGTGCGCGCTCACCTTGGGCCCATTACCCTTGGCCGTCAAGGAACAGCCTCGCCCTGCTTTCTCCCTCACCCTCCCACGTGTCACCGCCCTCATCACGTCTTCTCGGGAAACCCTGCTGGTGGTGGTCTGCTCGTCCAACTTGGGTTGCTCAATCAAATTAGGTCACCGAGCCCCGGGGCCTACTCGAGGGATCGGGACCGCGATTATGACCGTGACTATGAGCGCCGTCGCCCGCACCGTGAAGACGACTATGATCGGCGCAGCCGCGACTATGACCGGGACCGGGACCGCAGCCGCGACTATGACCGCGATCGCAGCTACGACCGAGACAGCGAGCGACGACCCAGCGAAGATGGCAGTGGAACGGAGCGCCGTCGTCGCCGCTTTGACGCTCAGCCCACTCCTGAAGGCCGTGCCATTGCTCATGCCATGATGACAAACCCAGCCGCCGCCACCGCCATGGTCAATTCCATGGGTGCAGATCCATCCCAGCGCGTACGAACGCCCCTCTCTTCCCTTCTCCGCTCACCGAGTCGGGTTCATGGCCTCGATGCCCCCACACCATGGCCTTCATTCACGCCGCTCCTCGCTCTCGTGTGCCCTCGGCTCCCTTGTGCAGTCCATCTTGCAGCACTCGAGTGTCATGATGCAGTCCAGTGGCATGGGCGGTGACCGGAAACAACGTGAACTCTACATCGGTAACCTACTGGTATGTGCAGATCTGCACCTGCTTGGGCCGCCGGCCCTTCTTACCATCAAGCACCCAGATTCTCCAGCTGCCTCCTCCTTCCGTTTCGCCCCTCATTAATGCGCTTTGCTTGCCACATCAAGACGGGCGTTGTGACTGAGCCCGTCTTGCGGGAATTCCTCAACGCCGGCTTGAGTATCGTCTGCGCCACTCCCGAGGCAAGTGCGATGCCTTTGCGCCTGGCCGAGCTCCAACGTGTTCAGCCTCGAGGCAGCGGTCTTTCTCGCTCTCCATCTCATCCGCCATGTTCGCCTGCCCCTTATCCCCCTTACCTCCTACCCCTTACCCTCCGCCATCTCGGTTGTCCTAATTTTTAGACGACACCACCGGTGGTCAAGGTGGACATGTCAAACGAGGGTCGCTTTGCTTTCGTGGAATTTCGGACCGCAGAGCTTGCAAATGGTGCGCAGTTCTGTTCATAGGCCTGACCCTGCGCTGTGCTGTCTCTGATCATTGATGAAATGCTTGGGTGGCCCCAACAGCTGCGCTATGTCTGGACAAGTTTGATCTCATGGGCCGCTGCATCAACGTCGGTCGTCCCAAGGGTGAGCCAATGGCTGCTTTACTGGACTGACTGTTGATGGTTGTGGTGCATACCATCTTGAAGACAGGGGCCATCAACTCAACCCATTTTCTTCGGCGCGCTGACTGCTTGGGTCGGGGTGACCGCACAGGCTACATTGCCGATGGCTACACGGCGGTTCCAGGCTTGAATGGTGGACCAGGCCGTGACCGCCCCGTGGGTCAAGGACCACCACCAGCACCTGCAGCGGGTGGTATGGGCAACAGCATGGGTGGCAGTCGGAGCGCTGGTGGCTATGGCGGCAGCAGTAACGGTGGCGGCTATGGCGGTAGCAGCAGCGGTGGCGGCTACGGCGGTGGCAGCAGTCATAGCGGCGGACGTGGTGGCGGCCGAGGATTTTCCAACAATTCGGCCAACCTTGTCCCTCTGGGCAGTACGTCCCTTTTTTTTATTTTTATTTTTATTTTTTTCTTTCTATACCCTGTGTTGCCTCTTCCACCACCAACCCCTCCCTCACTATCGGCGCATTGCTTTCAATTCTTTTTCTTTTTT